GTACTTCACACCACACATTCTTTCACAGTGCAGGCACTGTACTTCACACCACACATTTTTCAGTGTTTTGGCACTGTACTTCACACACACTTCTTCGGGTGTGCAGGCACTGTACTTCACACCACCATTTTCAGTGTGCACATGTACTTCCACACCACACATTCTTCAGTGGCAGGCATGTACTTCACACCACACTTTCTTCAGTTTTGTAGGCACTGTTACTTCACACCAACTTTCTTCAGTTGCAGGCACTGTATACACAACCACACATTCTTCATGTGTAGGCACTGTACTTCCACCAACATTCTTCAGTGTGCAGGCACTGTCTTCACACCACTCATTCTTCACAGTGCGGGCACTGTTACTACCCCCCAATTTTCAGTGCGGGCACTGTACTTCACACCCACATTCTTCAGTGTGCAGGGCACTGTTTCACACCACACTTCTCAGGGGTGCAGGCACTTTTATTCACACCACAATTCTTCAGTGTGCAGGCCCCTGTACTAAAACCACACATTCTTCAGTGTGCAGGCACTGTACTACACACCACACATTCTTCAGTGTGCAGGCACTGTACTTCACACCACACATTCTTCAGTGTGCAGGCACTGTACTTCACACCACTCATTCTTCACAGTGCAGGCACTGTACTACACACCACACATTCTTCAGTGTGCAGGCACTGTACTTCCACACACATTCTTCAGTGTGACACTGTACACACACCCAAACATTCTTAGTTGCGGGCACTGACTACACACCACACATTTTCAGTGTGTAGGCACTGTATACACACCACACATTTTTTCAGTGTGGGGCACTGTACTACACACCACACATTCTTCAGTGTGTAGGCACTGTACTTCACACCACACATTCTTCAGTGTGTAGGCACTGTACTACACACCACACATTCTTCAGTGTGTGGGCACTGTATACACACCACAACTTCTTCAGTGTGTAGGCACTGTACACACACCACACTTCTTCAGGGGTGTAGGCACTGTATACCCACCACACATTTTCATGTGTAGGCACGTACTACACACACACATTCTTCAGTGTGTAGGCACTGTACAACACCCACACATTCTTCAGTGTGTAGGCACTGTATACACACCACCATTCTTCAGTTGTGTGGGCACTGTACACACACCAACATTCTACATGTGTAGAACTGTTACACAACCAACTTTCTTCAGTGTGTAGGCACTGTATACCACCACACTTTATTCAGTGTGTAGGCACTGTACTACACACCAAACATTCTTCAGTGTGAGGCACTGACTACACACCACACATTCTTCAGTGTGTAGGCTTGTACTTCACACCACATTCTCAGTGTGTAGGCACTGTATACACACCACCCCTTTCCCTTCAGTGGAGGCACTGTACTACACACCACACATTCTTCAGGGGTGTAGGCACTGTACTACACACCACACATTCTTCATGTGTAGGCACTGTACTACACACCACACATTCTTCAGTGTTAGGCACTGTACTAAAAACCACCATTCTTCAGTGTGTAGGCACTGAAAACTACACACCACACATTCTTCATGTGCAGGCACTGTACTACACACCACCATTCTTCAGTGTGTAGGCTCTGTATTTCACACCACACAATTTTTCAGTGTGTAGGCACTGTACTACACACCACACATTTTTCATGGGGTAGGCACTGTACTACACACCACACATTCTTCATGTGTAGGCTCTGTACTTCACACCACACATTCTTCATGTGAAAGGCACTGTACTACACACCACACATTCTTCAGTGTGTAGGCTCTGTACTTCACACCACACATCTTCAGTGTGTAGGCACTGTACTAAAACACCACACATTCTTCAGTGTCAGGCACTGTATACACACCACACATTCTTCAGTGTGTAGGCTCTGTACTTCACACCACACATTCTTCAGTGTGTAGGCACTGTACTACACACCACACATTCTTCAGTGTGTAGGCACTGTACTACACACCAAAACATTCTTCAGTGTGAGGCACTTTTACTACACACCACACATTCTTCAGTGTGTAGGCACTGTACTACACACCACACATTCTTCAGTGTGTAGGCACTGTACTACACACCACACATTCTTCAGTGTGTAGGCACTGTACTTCACACCACACATTCTTCAGTGTGTAGGCACTGTACTACACACCACACATTCTTCAGTGTGCAGGCACTGTACTACACACCACACATTCTTCAGTGGTAGGCCTGTACTTCACACCACACATCTTCAGGGGTGTAGGCACTGTACTACACACCACACATTCTTCAGTGTGCAGGCACTGTACTACACACCACACATTCTTCAGTGTGCAGGCACTGTACTACACACCACACATTCTTCAGTGTGCAGGCACTGTACTACACACCACACATTCTTCAGTGTGTAGGCACTGTACTACACACCACACATTCTTCAGTGTGCAGGCTCTGTACTACACACCACACATTCTTCAGTGTGTAGGCACTGTACTACACACCACACATTCTTCAGTGTGTAGGCTCTGTACTACACACCACACATTCTTCAGTGTGCAGGCTCTGTACTTCACACCACACATTCTTCAGTGTGCAGGCTCTGTACTTCACACCACACATTCTTCAGTGTGCAGGCTCTGTACTACACACCACACATTCTTCAGTGTGCAGGCACTGTACTACACACCTCCAGGATTCACTTAATGTCATGAAACATTCATAAGCTTCAGTAAGCTTAAGCTTACTTCAGTCTTATGGTGGATATTGATATAAATTTTTGATAAACACATCTGTATATTATGCTCCTCTTAAACTTTTAATGTTTTTCATTTTGTACAGGAATCACAGTCTTATACTCTCAATGTATCCTTTGAACTTGTGTACCATTGTATGTAATAGTGAATGTAAGAAAACACATTCATCATTATTCATGCAGTTGCTATCTTTCCAGAAATGTGCTGACACCATAATTCAGATCAGATTACCTTTCAACTGCAGCATCCCTGCATATATATTTATATATATATATATGTATATACATATATGCTTCCTAGGTAGTAAGTTGGTAGACAGCAACCGCACAGGGAGGTACTACCGTCCTGCCAAGTGAGTGTAAAACGAAAGCCTCTAATTGTTTTACATGATGGTAGGATTGCTGGTGTCCTTTTTTCTGTCTCATAAACATGCAAGATTTCAGGTACGTCTTGCTACTTCTACTTACACTTAGGTCACACTACACATACATGTACAAGCATATATATACACACCCCTCTGGATTTTCTGCTATTTTCTTTCTAGTTCTTGTTCTTGTTTATTTCCTCCTATCTCCATGGGGAAGTGGAACAGAATTCTTCCTCCGTAAGCCATACGTGTTGTAAGAGACGACTAAAATGCCGGGAGCAAGGGGCTAGTAACCCATTCTCCTGTATAAATTACTGTACTAAATTTAAAAAGAGAAACTTTTGTTTTTCTTTTTGGGCCACCCCGCCTCGGTGGGATACAGCCGGTTTGTTGACAGAAGACACATATGCTTAACAATTCGCAAACAGGCAATTTTTTTTTTTCTTTTTTTTCAACAAGTCGGCCATCTCCCACCGAGGCAGGGTGACCCAAAAAATAAGAAAATGCCCAAAAAGAAAATACTTTCATCATCATTCAACACTTTCACCACACTCACACATTATCACTGTTTTTGCAGAGGTGCTCAGAATACAACAGTTTAGAAGCATATACATATAAAGATACACAACATATCCCTCCAAACTGCCAATAATTTTTATATTTATATTTATTTATAAAAAATGAGGTGGTAGGAGAAACAGAATGTTTGAACAGCCTCAGGGAGAACTCTGTATTTTTTCCGTGAAGACTTTTATATTTACTTGTCTGATTCTGTGGATCCTCAGATTTGCAACTAGAGGCAGACCAATTCCATATATTAAAACATATAGGTATATTTTTTTAATGTTTTTTTTTTTTTTTATTATTAACACACTGGCTGATTCCCATGAAGGTACGATGGCCTGATAAAGAAAAACTTTCACCATCATTCACTCCATCACTGTCTTGCCAGAAGGGTGCTTTACACTACAGTTTTTAAACTGCAACATTAACACCCCTCCTTCAGACATTTACTAAAAAAGAGAAGAAGAAAAACTTTTTTTAATGTACCTCATATTATTGCTGCTTGACTGAATTCATTTTATTACATGTACAGTTTTGAGTTTAAGTAAGACTCAAATGGTATTTTAAATGTTAGTACTTTTTCATTGTGAACATTGAGTACATTACACTAGATATTATATTAAGTTTTATATTAATGCAAGGATTTAATAGCAGCCCAGTTGTGCCATAAAGATTTTAATGGTGAGAACTCCAGAAATATTGTGGCTCCTTTATACTGTACTTAAGTTTCGGCATTCATTAAAACATGTTGTGTACATATATTTAATTGTTGTAGTAACTTGCATGAAGAATTTTGTTTGTTGTCTAAGTAAATGAGTATATATAAAGTTGTTATTTTGTGTTCACTATGTATGATGACTAGTCGGTGCTTTAACCCTTAAATGGTCCAAACGTATATACAGTGGACCCCCGGATAACGATCAGCTCCCAACTCGACCAATTATGTAAGTTTATTTTTGTAAGTGCTTTTGTAGGTGTATTTTTAGGGGTCTGAAAAGGACTAATCTAATTCACAATATTTCTTATGGGAACAAATTCGGTCTATAACGGCACCCAAACAGACTTCTGGATTGAAATAATATTGTTATGCGGGGGTCCACTGTATACGTTTTTTCAACATCTGTATGTAAAAAAATGTAAACTTTTTTTTTTGTTTTACATGTGAAAACGTGTAAAAAAAACTTATCTACATTTTTTTGGGTTATATTTGAAAATATGTAAAAAAAAAGTAGATCTACTTTTGTAGCTACGAATTTGAACGTCGATCTGTTTGGACCGTTTAAGGGTTAAGAACATATATATTTCTCCAGGGGCTGGCAAGGATTCCTGGCCTATGGTGCACAGACAACTGTAGTGGTGGTTGACCCAGTGACTCTGCAGTGTGTCCAAACGCTCTCCAAACACCGCAGCCATGTGGTTAAGGTAAGATTAATTTTTTTTTTTTTTTGTCGATAGCCATCTCCCACTGAGACAGTGAATCAAAGAAGAAAAACATTCATCATCATTCATTTAACCCATAAACGGTCCAAACGTATATATACGTTCACTACCGTACTGCCCCAACTTTTTTGAGAAAAAAAAAATTGTTGTTTTTTAATAGGAAAAAAGAGCATATGGTACCCAGGCATCCCCTATTATTTTAATATAGCGCACAGTGAGCGCTCACACTCATTCTCTCATGTCTAGGCGACTCAGGCTTATTGTGGCAATGTTAAATGTATGACACATAAAACGTATATATACGTTTGGGGCACTAGCGGTAAAAACGCATATATACGTTTGGACCGTTTACGGGTTAATTGCTGTTTTGCTAAGAAGTGTGTTGACATGCTAACTGGTCTCCCAAATCCATTCATGTTATCTGTCTCAACATGTCTATTGACAACCAGTGTGAGCAAGGTAACATTTATAAAGGGACTCAGGGAAACTGGTTAGTTGAACTTGAGTCTTGGAGGTGGGAAGTATAGCGCCTGCACTCTGAAGGACGGGTGGAAATATTTGCAGTTTGAAGGGGCATCTGAACTGTTGTATCGGCGTGCCTCAGGCAAGATGGTGATAGAGTGTGATAGTCAAAGTGTTTCTTCTAAGTTAGACCCTCATTTATAAAGTGGTATTTAAATATTAACAGCCTGTGTACAGTAGGTCAACAATTTTTTCTTTGTTTTTCAGGTCTGGAAACCTAAAAAATTAAGAAATAAAAAGGCTTTCTGAGGTTTTCTTGTTTTCAGTAAAAGTCCTTGATTACCACTCTTAAACTTGCTTTTTTGTAGAGTCTCTGTACACAAAAATCTTTCTTAATTCACATGAAAACAAAACCTGACTTAACTGTGTTGGACTGGAGAAATAGCAAAATTAATCAGCGGACAACGAGGTACTATGAGGCGTCAAGGAAAGTTATCCTCCTAAGCACAACAGGGTACTGGGCATAGGGTAACATATATTGTGGTTTTCCTATATTATACCCTGTTGCAGTATTACAGTAACACCCTTTTTATCTTGTACTTAATTTCCCAGCATGCATACATAAGATATTTTAAGACTAAATATTTTGTATATACTGTAAACAATATCATCTTTATTGTAGGTGCGGTGGAGAAAAACACGACACTATCACCAGCTGAGTGCACCGTACAGTCTTATCTTGGCCTCAGCAGACAACACTGGTACAATTCATGTCTGGGATGTTGCTCGGGGAGAAGTGACTGCCACACTCCAGGATGGTACTAGACCTATACAAGGTAGGTTATCACTTAATTTTTACTTTAGAATATTGTAGCATCTGTAAATTGCAACATTATGATAAAAGTTGTTGCAGACTTATTTTTAATTTTTTTTTTTTGCACATGGTTGTATAATGTATAAGTTGGTAATCTAAAATATCTGTAAGAAACATACTGGATATATAGTACCCCAAAATTATGGCTGTAGTATGACTTGATTTTTGTTTTACCACATCAATCATTTCCACCAAGGTAGGTATCTCAAACAAGAAAACATTCATGATCAAACATTTAGTTGCTGTCTTGCCAGAAATGTGCAGATATCACAGTTCAAATGATTCACCAAACTGTAACGTCCCGACCTGTCCTTAAGAGTTCAGCACTCATTGTACTTCCCACCCCCAGGAATCAAGTCCAGCTAATTAGTTTCTTGGAATCCCATCACAAATGTTACCTTGCTCAAACTCCAACAGCACATCATATGCTGTATCTCAAAACCATATGTTTGCTCTCTTCCCCAGTCTAACACACTCCTGGATTCTCCAACCCCTACTACTTAACCCTTTCAGTGGCCATCACACTGAACTATGTCATTTAGGCCAGAGTCCCTCATGTAATTCTACATCATGAACTCAGCTCACTCAGATAAGCTGTGAGCAGTAAGTTTTGGCCTAGATATGAGAGAGTGGGTCTGTGCAGTTTGTGTGCACAGTATAAAAAATAATCCTGGCCCATGACAGTGTCATCCATTGAGGACACTGCAAATCTCCAAGCAGACATTAACCAAATCTTTGGGCTTCAGAAAACAGTATAAAGTTAAATGAAGACAAATTTCAATTACTCTGCCATTGAAAACTCGAGGAAATAAGAACTGGATCGGAGTACAAAATGAATTCCATCCACACACTAGAGCAAAAAACTAATGTGAAGGACCTAGGAGTGATAATGTCAGAGAGACTCGCTTTCAAAGATCACAACAATGTTTTTACCACATCTGCTAGGAAAATGATAGGATGGGTAATGAGAACCTTCAAAAATAGAGATGCCATGCCATTGATGATTCTCTTCAAATCAATTATTCTCTCTAGTCTGGAATATTGCTGTACACTAATGGCCCCTTTCAAGGCAGGCAAAATTGCAGACCCGGAGAATATACAGAGATCTTTCCCTGCACATATAAATACAATAAAGCACCTAAATTACTGGGAACAGTTGAAGTCTCTTGATTTGTACTCCTCTGAATGCAGTCAAGAAAGATGCATGATAATATACACTTGGAAAGTCTTAGAGGGACTAGTCTCAAATCTGCACACAAATCTACAAAAGCAAATGACTCAGCAGGAAGTGCAACATCCCTCAGATAAAATTCAGGGGCATCATAAGTACACTAAGAGACATCACAATAAGTGTTGGATCCAAAATTGTTCATCTGCCTCCCAGTATACATAAGGGGGATTACCAATAGACCCCTGACTGTCTTCAAAAGGAAGCTGGACACACAAAGTCAATTCCCAACCACCCAGGCTGTGGTTTGTATGTAGGTTTGCTTGTGGCCAGCAGTAACAGCCTGATCCACCACAAGGCCTGGTCATGGACCGAGTCGTGGAGATGTTGACCCCCCCCCTCGAACACCCTCCACCCTCCAGGTATACACGGTGCAAACAGGAAAAACAAAACTGACCCTGTGTTTGGGGTGTTTTCTAGGATGGTTTTTATGGTTTTATTGGCTGTTTCTTGATATCGTTTAAGAAATTGGAAGACACATTACTGAAACTGAGATGATTTTGGTTGCTTCAGGGCCATAAGTAGCTTGAAATTGAACTCAAAGTAATGGGAATATTAAATTTCTTCAATTTTCCTGAGGACAGATAAAGGCCCTCGTACACCCCTTCGGACTGTTTTATGGGTTTTTATATTTTATTATCCAAGAAATTGAGTACATCTTCTATTTTTGTGTGATTAAGAATTCAGAATGGAAGGTAAATATAATATAGGGGAGGCCTGGAGACATGGCCAAGGAACAGAGGAAATGTTTTAGTCTAACCCAGAAATGTCTAGATTTTGTATTTTGGACTATTTTTAACCCGTAAATGGTCCAAACGTATATATACGTTTTTTTCAACATTTGAAAGTATGTAAAACAAGTAATCTTTTTTTTTTTTTTTTTTTTACATTTGAAAATGTGTAAAAAATCTTTGATTTACTTTTTTTTTTGTTATATTTAAAAATATGTAAAAAACGTAGATCTACTTTTGTAGCACTACACATGTGAACGTAGATCTGCTTGGACCGTTTACAGGTTAAAGTAGAATAACAATTCTTATACTAAAATTTATTGGTGTAAAACAGTTTCCTAGTGAAGATCTGGAAGCTATTCATATAATCCCAAGAAATTATTTTTTATTGATTTGCTAACAGGATCAAATTACCTTATGAGGATAGACTGAGGCCCTTAATCTGCACTCTCTAGAAAGACGTAGAATTAGGGTGGATATGATCGAGGTGTATAAATGGAAAGCAGGAATAAATAAAGGGGATGTAAATAGAGTGCTGAAAATTTCCAGCCAAGACAGGACTCGCAGCAATGGTTTCAAGTTGGAAAATTTCAGATTAAGGAAGGATATAGGAAAACACTGGTTTGGTAATAGAGTTGTGGATGAGTGGAACAAACTGCCAAGTACAGTTATTGAGGCTAAAACGTTGTGTAGTTTTAAAAATAGGTTAGATAAATACATGAGCAGGTGTGGGTGGGTGTGAGTTGGACCTGACTAGCTTGTGCTGCTGGGTCTGGTGCTGTGCTCCTTCCTTGAGTGGTGGTGACCAGACTGGGTGGGTCATTGGGCTAATCCAGGGGGGGTGAGACATGGACCTGCTCCACATGGGTCAGTAGGCCTGTTGCAGTGTTCCTTCTTTCTTATGTACTAATGTTTAAATACCATACACAAATAACCTGCACTAATTAATGGTCCAGGTCAGACCAAAATCTTGTCATGAGTGTCTTTCTCCCATGTGAAGGTTATTTGTGCATTGTTCCAGTCACGGTATTGTGCCTTTTTTTCTTTATTTAAATACCACGTGATTTCATCATCAGAGTTGGAATGGCTGGGCGGCATGGATGGCAGTGAGCATCTCTTGGCTGCTTTACACCCACCTTATTCCCTCGTCATCTGGGACACACGACACAACAATAAGCTCTGGAAGAAGTCCTACACAGAAACCTTAACTGCATTCCATTTTGATCCATTCCACTTCAACAAGATGGCATGTAAGAATATAACTTGTGTAGCAGTTAATTGAAACTACATATTTAAGTTACTTGGTTGCCCCTCTAAACCTTGTACAGTATTAAACTTTTATTTAATATCGTCTTTTAGTTTTTAGAATTATAAAGTACATACAGCATTAACTTATCACACTTATGATGCTTCTAGAAATTTTTTGTTGTGTTAATTTCTTTTTAACACAGTGGCTGTCTTCCTTCAGGTTGACCGGAAAAGAAGAAACGTAAAGATTTTCTCCTTTTTACAGTTAGTAATTTATACAGCCACTTGCTCCTGGTATTTTAGTTGCCACTTGTGACACACATGGCTTTCAGAGGAGGGATTCTTCTCCACTTCCCCATGGAGATGAAAATGAAATTAATAAGAACAAGAACTAATAAGAAAATAGAAGACAACTTGGATGGGTGTATATACGTATATGAGTACATATTCATATATGAGTACATATACATATATGAGTACATATACATATATGAGTACATATACATATACATATATGAGTACATATACATATACATATATGAGTACATATACATATATGAGTCCATATACATATATAAGTACATATACATATGAGTACATATACATATGAGTACATATACATATATGAGTACATATACATATATGAGTACATATACATATATGAGTACATATACATATATGAGTACATGCCTGTGTAGTTGACCTGAGTGTAAATAGAAGTAGTAAGATGTACCTCTTATCTTGTGTATTTATGAGACAGAAAGAAAAGACACCAGCAATCCTTCCATTGTATAAAAGAATTGCAGGTTTCCGTTTCACACTCACTTGGTAGGTTGGTACTATATACCTCCCTGGATGGGAGGTACTACCGTCCTACCAAAGCAGGGATGGTTACTGTCTACCAATTTACTACACCTACCATCCGACTTACGACCTGCTCGACATACGACCACTGGACTTACGACTGTGTTTTTTATGCCAAATTTCTGGGAAATAAACAAGTGTTTGTGTTGTACACAGTGTTTATCGTAAACCTTACAGTATAAAATACAGTACTAACAACATAAAAAGTAAAGTAAAACATGAAATACCAAAATAAAACAATAAAATAAAGTCATTACAAAAATTTTATGTTGATATTCAGTAGTAAAGTTCGACTTATGTCCATTTCGACTTACGACCGGTTTCTCGGAACCGAACATGGTCGCAAGTCGGATGGTAGGTGTACTTATCATAATATTAAATTATTTATCTAACACAACATGTACGTACAAAATATAATTTAGTTCACCATACATTTCCATACTGTACTGTACCTTGACTGAAATATTTTCCCATATTTTATATTGGATAATACATCTATTGCTTTTTTTTATGTGCAGATATTAATAATAATGTTGCTGATCTCTGCAGTTCTGTGTGGGGGATGTGTACTGTTTGTTGAAGACTTCAGCCTCACAAAGTGCCCCTCTTCCAATGGTCGAAAATTCTATGTTTCTACTCCAAGGACAAGTCCTGGGAAGGTTGCAAACTCAATCCCCTCATCAACCAGCTCCAATTCCATTAATGACGAACGAACGAGCAGTAGAATTCGCCGCAAAATGCGAGAACTGGTCGTAGGGGAGGCTAAGCCGAAGTAAGCTGTGCATATATTTCTTTACGAATAATTTCATGCCTGTATCAGTGATCTCTACTGCCACATATCAGCCATAGAGTTTAGGCACTGTACTTCCCACCTCCAGGACTTGAAGTCCAGCTAACAGGTTTTCCTGAATCCGTTCATAACTGTGTCCTTTCTGACACTGCAACTGCATGTCAAGTCATAAAAACCAATTTCTTCCACTCCTATCTAACACACACAGCCTCCTATATTTTTAGGCCCCTCACATACAAAACCTCCTTTTTCCCCTCCCTCCATCCCCTCAAGGAAGGTTCCTTGATGTTGGTGAGGGGCTCTTGATTTAGGGAATTGGATCTGTGCTCCAGTTCCCCAAATTAAGCCTGAATACCTTCCACATCCCCCCCCCCAGGCGCTGTATAATCTTCCGGGTTTAGCGCTTCCCCCTTGATTATAATAATAATAATAATAATCCCCTCCCTCCAACCTTTCCTAGGATGACCCCTGCACTCCCTTACCCCTACTCGAGTTATACACCCTTTAAATCATCCTATTTTGATCCCTCTTAGCCCTCTGGATAATACTTTTACAAACCACACACCTAATCTTAAAATTCTGAATTCTCTGCATAATATTTACACCATACTTTGCTCTCAGATATGAGATCTACACTGCCTCCAGCCTCCTTGTCACTACAACATTCACTACCAATGCTTCACACCTATATAAAAGTGGTTACGACTGTACTCTCATACATTTTCCTATTTTGCCTCCTTGTATTACATTCTTTGTCTCCACAGATGCCTCAGTGCACCACCCACCTTTTTGCTTCATCAGTTCTATGGTTCACCACATCTTTCATAGACCCATCCACAAGAAGCTCACCCCCAAATATCTGAACACATTCACTTTCTTCATTCTCTCTCCTTCCAATCTGATATCCTGTCTTTAATTACTTAATTTTTTTATTACCCTCATCACCTTGCTCTTTCCTCTGATCAGTATATAATACCAATAATTGCCTATTTGTTATTCTCCATTTGTAATTACCTGTTTGAAGTTGGCGGTGAGTTTGAGCTCTTGAAATTGTTTCTTAACTTTTCTTTGACTGACACGATTGAGCCCTATTATATCTATCAGCTGATAGTGCATCCATTTCACTCTTAGTAGATGGAGGACTAAGCCTCCATCACTCCATGTGCTGAATGGCCCATACTGGTTTAGTGCTTTACATAATTTTTTTTTTTTAACAAGTCGGCCATCTCCCACCGAGGCAGGGTGACCCAAAAAAAGAAAGAAATTCCCCAAAAAGAAAATACTTTCATCATCATTCAACACTTTCACCACACTCACACATAATCACTGTTTTTGCAGAGGTGCTCATAACACAACAGTTTAGAAGCATATACCTATAAAGATACACAACATATCCCTCCAAACTGCTAATATCCAGAACCCCTCCTTTAGAGTGCAGGCATTGTACTTCCCATTTCCAGGACTCAAGTCCGGCTATATAAAAATAACTGGTTTCCCTGAATCCCTTCACTAAATATTACTCTGCTCACACTCCAACAGATCGTCAGGTCCCAAATACCATTCGTCTCCATTCACTCCTATCTAACACGCTCACGCACGCTTGCTGGAAGTCCAAGCCCCTCGCCCACAAAACCTCCTTTACTCCCTCCCTCCAACCTTTTCGAGGATGACCCCTACCCCGCCTTCCTTCCCATACAGATTTATACACTCTCCATGTCATTCCACTTTGATCCATTCTCTCTAAATGACCAAACCACCTCAGCAACCCCTCTTCAGCCCTCTGACTAATACTTTTATTAACTCCACACCTTCTCCTAAATATGATTCATAAATAGCAGTGTAAAAGAGCTATGAATGAAATGGAAATATACCGTAGTTTTCCTTGCAAAAAAATCAACAAAAGTGGTCTGGTACAGTATAATAAAAAGTGTTTGTTTTTGTCTGATTTTTACATCACCTGTTTCTTGTGGTATTACATGAACATTAGAGGAATTTACTGTACTGGAGATTTTTCTGGTTCCTTAGAAGTGAGGAGGTGAGTCAGCTGGTGGAGTGTTTACAGCTGATGTATCATCGTACAGTGCGCGATCAGCTGCTGCTGCTCTACTCACGAGAGATCCTGGTACTGGATCTTACCATCAATCAAACTGTTGGTATTATAGTCATTGACCGGGCAATGTCACCCTTCAGCCAGGTGAGTTATTGTGTAAATCTCCTCACTTCAAATTCTCTGCATAATATTTACACCACACATCTCCCTCAAACCTGACATCCTCACTACCTCCAGTCACGGCCTCACTGCTATATTGCTTAATTTTGTAATGGTAAATGCTTATCTTTTTTTACCATAGCAGCATTCCCACAAGGGCAGTTAAGTATAGGAGAGCCTCGTTTGTACAACTTTTAGGATCCTGACCTCGTGCGATAAATGTGTTTACACTATCATATATTAAGTACTCAATACAGCTAGGCATGACAAGTAGCCTATGAACTTTTTGAGAAAAAGAAAGTCTATGGTTTAACAAGTGTTTTTGTAGGTAAGGAAGTGGCAGTGGCATGCGTCATCCTTCATATTAATGGTCGGAACCAAAGATTGAACATCATTTTGAAGTGACATGCCAATGGTTTATTTAATTTTGAAATGTCTTTCTGCATGGCAGACTCTTTTATCCTTGCAACTTGAGTCCTGGAGGTGGGATGTACAGTGCCTGCACTCTGAAGGAGGGGTGGAAGTGGGGTGTACAGTGCCTGCACTCTGAAGGAGGGGTGGAAGTGGGGTGTACAGTGCCTGCACTCTGAAGGAGGGGTGGAGGTGGGATGTACAGTGCCTGCACTCTGAAGGAGGGGTGGAAGTGGGGTGTACAGTGCCTGCACTCTGAAGGAGGGATGGAGGTGGGATGTACAGTGCCTGCACTCTGAAGGAGGGGTGGAGGTGGGATGTACAGTGCCTGCACTCTGAAGGAGGGGTGGAAGTGGGGTGTACAGTGCCTGCACTCTGAAGGAGGGGTGGAGGTGGGATGTACAGTGCCTTCACTCTGAAGGAGGGGTGGAGGTGGGATGTACAGTGCCTGCACTCTGAAGGAGGGGTGGAAGTGGGATGTACAGTGCCTTCACTCTGAAGGAGGGGTGGAGGTGTGATGTACAGTGCCTTCACTCTGAAGGAGGGGTGGAGGTGTGATGTACAGTGCCTGCACTCTGAAGGAGGGGTGGAGGTGGGATGTACAGTGCCTTCACTCTGAAGGAGGGGTGGAGGTGGGATGTACAGTGCCTGCACTCTGAAGGAGGGGTGGAAGTGGGATGTACAGTGCCTTCACTCTGAAGGAGGGGTGGAGGTGGGATGTACAGTGCCTGCACTCTGAAGGAGGGGTGGAGGTGTGATGTACAGTGCCTTCACTCTGAAGGAGGGGTGGAGGTGTGATGTACAGTGCCTGCACTCTGAAGGAGGGGGTGGAGGTGTGATGTACAGTGCCTTCACTCTGAAGGAGGGGTGGAGGTGTGATGTACAGTGCCTGCACTCTGAAGGAGGGGTGGAGGTGTGATGTACAGTGCCTTCACTCTGAAGGAGGGATGGAGGTGGGATGCACAATGCCTTCACTCTGAAGGAGGGGTGGAAGTGGGATGTACAGTGCCTGCACTCTGAAGGAGGGGTGGAGGTGGGATGTACAGTGCCTTCACTCTGAAGGAGGGGTGGAGGTGGGATGTACAGTGCCTTCACTCTGAAGGAGGGGTGGAGGTGGGATGTACAGTGCCTGCACTCTGAAGGAGGGGTGGAGGTGGGATGTACAGTGCCTGCACTCTGAAGGAGGGGTGGAGGTGGGATGCACAATGCCTTCACTCTGAAGGAGGGGTGGAGGTGGGATGTACAGTGCCTGCACTCTGAAGGAGGGGTGGAGGTGGGATGTACAGTGCCTTCACTCTGAAGGAGGGGTGGAGGTGGGATGTACAGTGCCTGCACTCTGAAGGAGGGGTGGAAGTGGGGTGTACAGTGCCTGCACTCTGAAGGAGGGGTGGAGGTGGGATGCACAATGCCTGCACTCTGAAGTAGGGGGAAGATATGTTGCAGTTTTTGAACTGTAGTATCAGCACACCTCTGGTAAGACACTGATGGTGTGAGTGATGATGAAAGTGTTTTTCCTTCTTTGGATCACCCTGCCTTTGTGGGGAAATAGTCTGTGTTAAAAAAATATTAATTTCTGTAAGTTTATCTCATATCGGTGTAGGATATTGATTAAATAATATGAATTACAGGTGTTGTCATGCTGGCAACGAGATGTTCTTTTTTGTTTACATGAATCAGGATCTGTTTCTGCGCACTTTCGTCGTCGACTCTTGCCAATGCCATCGTCCCCAGACACTGATAAGGACAATACTTGGCATGCAGGTAAAACCTTCATTACTCTGTACATATATGTTGTTTTTGTTTTAACTCGGACTTCCTTAAGGATGTCAAGTATCATTGTTGCATATTACCAAAGGTCCAGATAAGAAAAAGTTCCAAATAGTTTAGATCATGACCAAAAATTGTGCAAAAAATTAATATACTTTTAAAATTACAGGATATTATATTTTTCAGATGGTGGAAGTGCTGGAGAGCATTATTATGAGGTTATGTACGACCGTAAGTGCCATTCTGAGCCTCTCCGTCTCAACAAGCAAAGCCGCCCTATCGGACTCACTCTCGACCCAGTGTCCGAGAAACACATGGGTGAGTAAAATAATTGCATGAAGGATTATAAAATAAAAACATTAGTATGGAGGAATGCTAGGTAGGTCCTTCTTTAAACCAACCATTCCCACCCACCTGCTTGTCCAACCTTTTTCCAAAGCTTCCCAAGAATTATCTTCAATACCTCAGATACTAATCAAACCCAGCCCTTCTCATTCATATATTTGTTCAATCTCTAATTAAAGCTACCAAAGGTCTTAGCCTCTATTACCCTACACAGAAGATTGTTCCACACACAGAGAACTCTGTTTGAAAACCAGTACTTACCTATGTCCTTTCTAAGTCTGAATTTATCTAACGTAAATCCATTATTTCTGATGGTATATGCACCATGGGCTTTTGCTTTCTATTTTAAATTAACCTCCTCATATTAACTTAGAGTTTGCTGACCTTTGAGGAACTTAGGTAATGAGATTTTATCCAGGGAAGAGGAGGGTTTCTTCAGTTCCTTGGATCAGGAGTTTTTTACCAGTACCAGTGCATTCTCCCCACATGTAGTGACCTAGAAATGTACACATCTTCCAAGTAAATATTAAAAAATATTATTTATTGTACCAGTAACTCATTTCTGTAAAGATGTTCCTCACTTTACAATGGTTTGATTTACGATATTTTGAGTTTACGGTCATGCGATAGCTATGCACATTCACTCCTGTACATTTATTGATATGATAAACTTTCATTTGTTTATTTACTTTTCAATACTGGTATGTAGTTAGTTACAGTAATTATTTGTTTATTTACTTATTGACAGTTATATTATTTATTTATTTATCATATATATATATTCATTTACTAAATTTAAAAAGAAAAACTTTTTGTTTTTCTTTTTAGGTCACCCTGCCTCCGTAGGATACAGCTGGTGTGTTTGAAAAAAAAGTCATATTCATATTCGACACATGATATTTTCAACTTGTGATGGGTTTAACGGAACATAACCCCATCATAAGTCAAGGTTCACCTGTATTGCAAAATTTTAATGCCAAACTATATCACCAGCTATGGTCTTGGGTGATGGCCGAGTGGTGTTCAAGCAGGTAACTTCCTCCCCGACCCCTGGACGTCAGGTGGTCAGCACCCCGCTCTTCACCCCAGGGGCTCCCTCCTCGATATCTGGTCCATCTCAAGCACCTCACTCTGGCCTCAGCATTGCAGACAATCACTTTGGTCTGGCCACCTCACCAGCTGGGGTTCACATCAACATGCCCAAAACCTCGCTGGCAGACATGGTGAAGCCAGCTTGGGCTCTAGCAGATAATGTGAAGGTAGAGTGCTTCAAAAAATAATTCTTACCAAGAGAGTTGTTAGTTTTGCAAACCGAAATTTCACAGTACAGTATTGCACTGTACTTAAACTGTAATTTTATGAAGAGGGAGAGATTTTTGTAGACATGGGTGTGAGGGGTGAGGAGGCCGAGAGAGGAGAGAATATTTAAACGAGAGGAGAGAATATTTAAACAAAAGAGAGGAGATAATATTTTGTTATTAAATAAAATAGAATACATCGGCTGTTGTGTACATCTCTGTTAATATTAATAATGGAGCATAAGCTAGCTATGTTTCTATCATTCATTACAATGGGTTCAAATATCAAGTGATGAAATCTTCAGTTACACTGGAGAGTATACTGACAGTGATGCAAAGACATTATGCATGATCTTTTTTGGTACAAGTTTTCACCAGAGTGGGTTTTTTCAAGTATCAAGATGAAATCATAGTGTCATTACAATAGTTAAGACTGAAGAAAATAGTACCAGACTTAAGCTGGAACTGCAGTTTGGTAAGATAGGTTTTCAACTCCATGAGAGTTCAATTAACTATATCAGCTTAAAGTCATTCCAACGGCTGACACTAATACAGTGGACCGTTAACGATATTATTCATTCCAGAATGTATGTTCAGGTGCAGTAACTGACCGATTTGTTCTAAGGAATATTGTGAAGAGATTAGTCATTCAGACCCAAACATACACGTACACGCACTTACATAAATACACTTACTTTAATGGTCGATTTGGAGGTGTCATATGCGGGGTCATGTATTGCTTAAGAATTACCATCTCTTAGGATGACCTATATCACACACACACACATAAGGTGGACAGAGACAGGATGTTCCAGAGAGGGGACACAGAAACAAGGGGTAACAATTGGAACCTGAAGACTCAGACGAGTCACAGGGATGTTAGGAAGTATTTCTTCAGTCATAGAGTTGTCAGGAAGTGGAATAGTCTAGCAAGTGATGTGGTGGAGGCAGGAACCATACATAGCTTTAAAACGAGGTATGACAAAGCTCAGGGAGCAGAGAGAGAGAGGACCTAGTAGTGATCAGTGAAGAGGCAGGGCCAAGAGCTGAGTCTCGACCCCTGCAACCACAATTAGGTGAGTACACACACATAAGAAATGGTATTTATGAAGATATGGGATATTTGCTGTTTAGAGTGACAGCCAAACTGTCACATCTGCGTGCCTCTGTGAAGATGTGATGGTGTGAATGATGGTGAAACTGATTCTCTTTTTTTTTTGGGGGGGGGGTTGCCTTGGTGGAACATAGCCATCATACTGAAAAAAAATAAATTTTCATCACAAGAGGGAGAGTAAAGAAAGGGGAAGGGAGTAGAAGGGAAGAAAAATTAATTTATGATTATTTATTTTTTTTATAATAAGATTTTTATTGGAAGTATTGTCCACCTGCAAAACTTGAGTCCTGGAGGTGGGAAGTATCTGCACTCTGGAGGAGGAAGGGAGTAGAAGCATAGTACAGTGTGGAGGGACATCTGAACTGTGATGTCTGCATGCTTCTGATAAGACATTGATTAAATGCAGTGGTGAACCAACATTTTTGGGGCCCTAAATCTTGAACTGTTATGAAGCTACCTTTGCAACCAGCAATATTAATATTTTTAAACAAAACCTTCTCATACAGTAGACCAGAATTTTTAAACAGTGTAGACTAAAGTTGCTTCTGGGGCCCCTCAGGGATAAGGGGCCCTGCAGCTTAAGCTTCATTACTTTCATTATAGATCCATCCCCTACCTCAGAGATGGCTAGTGTGTAAAAAAAAACACATGATTAAAAATGTAAAGTAAAAGGACACAACTGCAACTAATGTGGCATTTTATTGTGGCAACGTTTCGCTCTCCAGGAGCTTAGTCAAGCTTGACAAAGCTCCTGGAGAGCGAAACGTTACCACAATAAAATGTCACATTAGTTGCAGTTGTGTCCTTTTATTTTGCATATTGTCGGTAATTCTACCAACATTATTACAATGATTAAAAATCATCATCTTTATTATTACTCTTATAGGAACTTGGGCACCGTGTTAACCTTCGCATTTTGATGACGGGTCTGATGCCTGCTATGTCCCCTCCTCCTCTGGTGATAAGAATGTGTCCACCTCTCACCACCAGAAATATTCTCCAGTATGTTCCTCGCCTCGCTGCAGGGACACAGTCAGGAGTGGTTCAAGTGTTTAATGTTGCTACAGGAGTATTGGAGAGAGAGTTTGCCCTTCACACATACCCTGTCAGGTTAGTTATGGCCAGTTCATACGCAAATAACTCGCGTATAGGAGAGAGGAGCTCATAACTACATTTCGGTCATACTTGGTTCATTTTCAAAGTCACTTTGTAAGTGGTCCAAGTTGGACCAAAACGTCATCATAAGCTTCTCTCTCCTATGTGCAGGTTATTTGTGTATTGGTCCAGTCATGGTATTGGGCCTTTTTGTTCTTTATGGCCAGTTCCTCTTTTTCTCTTTTTTTTAATACTATACATTAACCACTTGAGTTATACTGGAGTGGGAAGTATAGCAACTGCCTTCTGTAGGATACCTGAAGATGTTTCAGTTCAGAAAGTCATTTGAATTTTAATATTTATGTGGTTCTTGCAAGACAAATGTTGAACGAGTGTGGGTGAATATGTTTGCTTCCTTGCATCACTCTATTTGCGTGGGAAACACCAAGGTAGAGTAATGTGAAGTAAAATCCTGCAGTTGTGTGTCCAGGACACCAAACCTCCCTCACAGTACTAACTGCTTGAGCCAGGTGTTTGGTAGCAATAAAAAGATATAAACAGCTAACATTCTTATATATGTAATAATGTTGGTAGAATTACCGACAATATGTAAAGTAAAAGGACACAAGTGCAACTAATGTGACATTTTATTGTGGCAACGTTTCGCTCTCCAGGAGCTTTGTCAAGCCATTACAAGCAGTATATGGACACAGAGGGTATATAAAGGCTCAGAGTGAGGTGCAATACTAGTGAGGTACCATTTTGATGTTCACTAGTGGTAGTAGTAGTAGTAGTAGTAACAATATGGTAGAGCAGTTAATTCGTACATGAGTAAAAGGATATAAAAGTTATTACTTGGGTAACATAAGTTGCACTTGTGTCCTTTTACTTTACATACATTCTTATATATGCTTACTCCATATAGGTACTAGTGATAACAAGAGGAACAGTAGGAGTAATATGCGCACTACTGTGTTGCTGTACATTCAGTACAGTTGGACAAGGATATTGCAAGAAACACCTTTATTAATACTGTGGTGTAATTGATCCTTCCAAGAATAATTTATTGTTAACTCTTAATTGGAGATGGAACTTTAGGACAGTGTTTTGGTCTATGCTGGACCAGTATTAATGCATGACTATAATAACTTGAAACTCAAGACTTGATAATAGTCAATGACAGATCAAAATGTTTTCTCAAGTCTCCCCAAATTATGGGTTAATAGTGATTTGTTCCAGCCATGGTATTGTGCCTTAGTTTTTAAAAACATAATTTTTTGTTTACTAAATTGAACACCATGATTATTAGAAACTAGTCCCACTAGAAGTGTTCAAGCAATAGGTAAACTGTACAGTGGAACCCTGGTTTACGGTATTATTTCATTCCAGAAGTATGTTCAGGTGCCAGTACTGACCGAATTTGTTCCCATAAGGAATATTGTGAATTAAATTAGTCCAAATCAGACCCCCAAACATACACATACAAATGCACTTACATAAATGCACTTACATAATTGGTCGCATTGGGAGCTGATCGTAAACTGGGGGTCCACTGTACCTGTAAAGTACAGAGTATCTTATAATGCTTGATAACCCACATGGAGGCAGAAACTCATGACTTTAATTGATTTGTATATTTCAACCCCCTTCTGGGATCCTCTTTTAATGATAATTAAAAAAAATGTTCCTACACTTTGCTTCATATTTTTTTCTATATCTACTGTCTCCCACCAGGGTAGGATGACCCACTAAAGGAAACAGTCACCATTATTCATTCAACAGCTCTCTTGTCAGAAGTGCGTACACACCACATTCAAATGAGTCTTCAAACTATAACATCCCGATCTCTCCTCCAGAGTATGGTCACTGTACTTCCCTCCTCCAGAGTATGGTCACTGTACTTCCCTCCTCCAGAGTATGGTCACTGTACTTCCCTCCTCCAGAGTATGGTCACTACTTCCCTCCTCCAGAGTATGGTCACTACTTCCCTCCTCCAGAGTATGGTCACTGTACTTCCCTCCTCCAGAGTATGGTCACTGTACTTCCCTCCTCCAGAGTATGGTCACTGTACTTCCCTCCTCCAGAGTATGGTCACTGTACTTCTCTCCTCCAGAGTATGGTCACTGTACTTCCCTCCAGAGTATGGTCACTGTACTTCCCTCCAGAGTATGGTCACTGTACTTCCCACCTCCAGAGTATGGTCACTGTACTTCTCTCCTCCAGAGTATGGTCACTGTACTTCCCTCCTCCAGAGTATGGTCACTGTACTTCCCACCTCCAGAGTATGGTCACTACTTCCCACCTCCAGAGTATGGTCACTGTACTTCCCTCCTCCAGAGTATGGTCACTGTACTTCCCACCTCCAGAGTATGGTCACTGTACTTCCCACCTCCAGAGTATGGTCACTGTACTTCCCTCCAGAGTATGATCACTGTACTTCTGTCCTCCAGAGTATGGTCACTGTACTTCCCTCTTCCAGAGTATGGTCACTGTACTTCCCACCTCCAGAGTATGGTCACTGTACTTCCCACCTCCAGAGTATGGTCACTGTACTTCCCACCTCCAGAGTATGATCACTGTACTTCCCACCTCCAGAGTATGGTCACTGTACTTCCCACCTCCAGAGCATGGTCACTGTACTTCCCTCCAGAGTATGGTCACTGTACTTCCCTCCAGAGTATGGTCACTGTACTTCCCTCCAGAGTATGGTCACTGTACTTCCCACCTCCAGAGTATGGTCGCTGTACTTCCCTCCTCCAGAGTATGGTCACTGTACTTCCCTCCTCCAGAGTATGGTCACTGTACTTCCCTCCTCCAGAGTATGGTCACTGTACTTCCCACCTTCAGAGTATGGTCACTGTACTTCCCTCCAGAGTATGGTCACTGTACTTCCCTCCTCCAGAGTATGGTCACTGTACTTCCCTCCTCCAGAGTATGGTCACTGTACTTCTCTCCTCCAGAGTATGGTCACTGTACTTCCCTCCTCCAGAGTATGGTCACTGTACTTCCCACTTCCAGAGTATGGTCACTGTACTTCCCTCCTCCAGAGTATGGTCACTGTACTTCCCACTTCCAGAGTATGGTCACTGTACTTCCCTCCTCCAGAGTATGGTCACTGTACTTCCCTCCTCCAGAGTATGGTCACTGTACTTCCCACTTCCAGAGTATGGTCACTGTACTTCCCTCCTCCAGAGTATGGTCACTGTACTTCCCACTTCCAGAGTATGGTCACTGTACTTCCCTCCTCCAGAGTATGGTCACTGTACTTCCCACCTCCAGAGTATGGTCACTGTACTTCCCTCCTCCAGAGTATGGTCACTGTACTTCTCTCCTCCAGAGTATGGTCACTGTACTTCCCACTTCCAGAGTATGGTCACTGTACTTCCCACCTCCAGAGTATGGTCACTGTACTTCCCACCTCCAGAGTATGGTCACTGTACTTCTCTCCTCCAGAGTATGGTCACTGTACTTCCCTCCTCCAGAGTATGGTCACTGTACTTCCCTCCTCCAGAGTATGGTCACTGTACTTCCCTCCTCCAGAGTATGGTCACTGTACTTCCCTCCTCCAGAGTATGGTCACTGTACTTCCCTCCTCCAGAGTATGGTCACTGTACTTCCCTCCTCCAGGACTCAAGTCCGGCTGACAGTTTTCTTACATTCCTTCATAAAACATAATACATGACAATAAATTATGACTACTCATATTTTATTTATGTTCCAGTTGTCTCATATCTGCCTTCAGTTATTGTCTTGTCATAATTTTTTACTTATAATACCTTGCGAATGATTTTCTTAATTCAAAATTAATTTTTATTGTTACTTAACCCTTAAACGGTTCAAACATATATATACGTTTTTTCAACATTTGAAAGTATGTAAAAAAATGTACATTTTTTTTTTTTTTTTACATTTGAAAATGTGTAAAAAAACTTTTATCTACTTTTTTCTACCCCTCAAGGAAGGTTCCTTGATGTTGGTGAGGGGCTCTTGATTTAGGGAATTGGATCTGTGCTCCAGTTCCCCGAATTAAGCCTGAATGCTTCCACATCCCCCCCCCCCAGGCGCTGTATAATCCTCCGGGTTTAGCGCTTCCCCCTTGATTATAATAATAATAATAATACTTTTTTCTATATATTTGAAAATATGTAAAAAAACATAGATCTACTTTTGGAGCACTACAGATTTGAACGTCGATCTATTTGGACCGTTTAAGGTCTATTTATTGTACTTCTCTACCTCCTGTCTTTCTCCTGTCCCTGTCCTTCTCTCGTGTACTGGCTCCCTTTCCTTTGTGTATTAGTGTGTGACTAGTTCATGGTTCAGGATGGACTGAAACGTCATAAGTTTCTTCTTTGTGCAGATTATTTGTGTATTGTTCCAGTCGTGGTATTGTACCTTTTTATTCTTTATTTTATTGTTTGTATTTGCCCTTTGCAGAGGTGTTGAGTGGACAAGCTTAACTTCCATCTTGTCCTTTGGTCACCAACCTCTCAGCAACAGTCAGGGCCTCGTACGTAATGAACTCATGTACACTGACATCCTCACAGGACGAACTATTACCTTAAGACCAAACAAGAGTGATGAAACAAGCATTGACATGGTCAGAGTCTCTTACCTAAAGTAAGTATCTTTTATCTTGTATAGAACACGGGTAGTAGTGAACTTCTTCAAGAGTAACGTCAATGTTCCTTCAACATGTTCGGTAGTGGTATAAAATACCAACACAACGGAAAAAAAGACACAGGTGCAGTACAGTGCAATTCTTTGTTGACCATGTTTTGCCCACACAGTGGGCTTTATCATGTCAAAAAGAGAACTGTTTGTGACTTGGTAAAGCCCACTGTGTGGGTGAAATGTTGTCAATAAAGGATTACATTATACTGCATTTGTGTCTATTTTTCCATGTTCAGTAATGCTCAGGGTGAAGTTTCATAACACTGATTACTGAAAAGTCAGAAACTGCTTGGTCTGAAAAATAAACATGGGTAAAATATATGAGTGGAGTCAAGTATTTTTGAAGACTTGATGTGCTGTTGGAGTGTGAGTAAGGTAACATTTATGAAGGGATTCAGGGAAACTGGTTAGCTGGGCTTGAGTCCTGGAGGTGGGGCATACAGTGCCTTCACTCTGAAGGAGGGTGGGGATGTTGCAGTTGGAAGAGTCATCTGAACTAATATCAGCTTGCATCTGGCAAGACAGTGATTGAATGAGTAACAATAAAAATATTTCCTCATTTACAGGTCACCCTACCTTGATGGGAGATGGCTGGTGTGTTAAACGAATATACATGTACAGTGGACCCCCAGTTCGCGATGCTATCGGTATCCGATAAATCTGGTAGCCGATGCATTATATTGTCAAAAATTTGCCTCGGTTCCCATTACAAAACCCGGTATGCAATGCGATTCGTACGAGACGTGTCCATGTGTGGCCTGAACTGCCCCGTGTGTGCCAGTGTTTACAAGCCAGCCAGTGTGCGCGCATCTAAGGATACATGCGGTACATTCCATATTATCCATATTATCACTGTTTTTGGTGCTTGTTTCTGCAAAATAAGTCACCATGGGCCCCAAGAAAGCTTCTAGTGCCAACCCTGTGGTAAAAAGGGTGAGAATTAGTATGGAAATTAAGAAAGATTTTGAAGGGTTTGGGGCTAACCCTGAGAAGCCTATGCCAGTTGTGGAATCCATTGTGCCTACTTCAAAGATTAAGGAAATGTGTGCAAAGTGGGTTGAACTGCAAACCTTTATGGATGAAAATCATCCTAACACAGCTATTGCAAGCCGTGCTGATGACTATTACAATGACGATGTTGTGGCCCATTTTAGACAAATCTTAAAGGAACGGGAGGTACAGAGCTCTATGGACAGATATGTTGTGCGACAGAAGTCCAGTGATTCTCAAGCTGGTCCTAGTGACATTAAAAGAAGAAGGGAAGTAACCCCGGAAAAGGACTTGCTACCTCAAGTCCTAATGGAAGGGAATTCCCCTTCTAAACAATAGGTTCAACACACTCCCCTCCTCCCATCCCATCAATCATCACCAGATCTTCGTTAAAGGTGTGTCAATTATTCTATTGTTATTATTCTATTGTTATTGTAATTATTCTATTGCATTAAACTTAATATTTCATGTGGTAAAAGTTTTTTTTTTCATACTTTTGGGTGTCTTGCACGGATTAATTTGATTTCCATTGTTTCTTATGGGGAAAATTGATTCGCTTTCCGATAATTTTGGTTTACGATGAGCTCTCAGGAATGGATTAATATCGCGAACCGGGGGTCCACTGTATGTGGAAAGTGTTTCTTTTTCGGGTCACCTTGCCTCAGTGGGAGATGGCCAGTGTGTTAAAATAAATATACTATTCCTAAGTTGCAACATTTTGGATCACAGTTTTTGTTAATTTTACACTCCCCTACTAACTTCTCAGGCAATATTTCATAGTAGTCTTCAAAGAAGATCCATTTGAACTGTGGGATGCCAGGAAGCTAGTACCGCTGAGGACGATGCCACGTCGGTTTCCTCGGGTGTCAGCTCTGGAGTGGTCCCCAACCAGTCATGTCAAGACACGACGGGACTCTGAGAGTCACAGAGCAACAGAGACTGAGCCTGGGAAAAATGAGTCACTTGTTCCCAAAGAAGCACCACATACCGAAGCATCAATGACAGAGTCCATGTTATCCCTGGCTGATGTAGGTAAGATGCTTTGTGCCAGTGTCACTTGTCTCTTTACATTTTAAATGTCAAGAAATTCAGAAATGTTTCAGAATGGAAGCTTATAACCCACAAGGAAGAAAATTTATGTATTTTAACTCCTATTGAGGTCCTCTTTGGCAGATATATATTGGCTGAAGAGAAACCCAGTTGGGGGTCAAAGTACTGTGTGCAACTAAGTTTTCTTCTACTTTTTGTCTCTATATGGATCATATTCTTCCACTGACAAGTATATACGCATTACATTTTGATGTGCCAACATTTTTTCAATATATGTATTTATGTTGTTAGGTGGAATTATTTGCAGTTTAGTACAGTATAAATCAGTCTAGTGATACTCTTGTAAACTAGAGTATGCTGGAAAATACCTACCATATTTTCTGGCATATAAAATGCATGAGCATTACACAAATAACCCGCACATAAAAGAGAGAATCTTACGACGACGTTTCGGTCCGACTTGGACCGTTCCAGTCACGGTATTGTGCCTTTTTTGCTAGTTATGCATGAGCATATAGGACATAAGACAATGTTTCCAAGCATTTGTAATGTATCGTTAGTTAACAACTGTAAAATGTAACCCTTGATCCTGATCTTGAGCATATAAGGCACAGTCTGATTTTCCAAGACTTTTTGTGGGAAAAGAAAGCATGCCTTATTTGCCAGAAAATACAGTAAATGAGACTGGAACCACAGGAGGTCCACCATCTTGTAAATGCACTAAGTTACACACGTCCACACTTACAAGTGTAGCACTGAAGACTCGGTTAACACTTTCCAACTGTCCAGCCATAGTATAAACATGTGAGAAATATCCATCCTTTGTTTTCTTTTTTTTATATACAAATAACTTGGTTATTTTCATATAGTCGGACTTGAGTCCTGGAAATGGGAAGTACAGCGCCTGCACTTTAAAGGAGGGGTTCGGGATATTGGCAGTTTGGAGGGATATGTTGTGTATCTTTATACATTTATGCTTCTAAACTGTTGTATTCTGAGCATCTCTGCAAAAACAGTGATAATGTGTGAGTGAGGTGAAAGTGTTGAATGATGATGAAAGTATTTTCTTTTTGGGGATTTTCTTTCTTTTTTGGTTCACCCTGCCTCGGTGGGAGACGGCCGACTTGTTGGAAAAAAAAAAAAAAACTTGGTTGCAAGTTGAAAGACCAGGAAAACATTTTGTTTTATTAGTTGAAAGATCAGCATTATAACTATGGACGAAATAAATGTGTTTAAATAAGGTGGTCAGTTTAGTTATAATTTTGAGTTAAGATTTGACCTCATAAAGGAATTTAGTTTTAAATTGTAGTGAAATATTTGAGATGTGACATGCATTTGTGATTTAATTATGCCATCTTTCGTGTTACCAAGTCATCATGGCCCATAAAGTGCACAGTAAACAGGCAGCATCTCTGAATATCAAACAGGAAATTATGAAAAAGATTATGCAGGAGCTAGAATTAGTGCATTGGTGTGTGAGTATGACTTTCCACGATCAGCCATCTCTACTATTATTAAGCGAAAAGATATAAAGGGTATTAAACTGGGTGACAAATCTTAGCTAGCAAAAAAAAATCAGAGAAATTATCAGAGAGATGGAAAGACTTGTTACTGTGGATAAGAGAGAAGCATATGAAGGGAGATATAATGCCTGTAAGTTACACCTGTGAGCCAGCACTCTATGAACCTTGTAGGATTAGCACTTAGTTCGGATCATATTAATAATAATAATGTGAGCATACAAGTTCAGGGTACAGTAAAAGTTGTCCTTCCGGGGTCTTGGAATGAATTACCATAGAACCATGTACAGTATTTTGGGGTTTGAGTTACAATACGTCTTATGGAATGGACTAATATATTAACTCGAGGGACCGCTGCACTTGGGAGTCGGAAGATGGGTCAGTGAAAGATGAAGTGAACCAAAGAATTGACAAGGAGAAAGAATGTGGGTAATGCAGTGAAACATCTGTGGAACAAAGAGCCTTATCCATGGAGGCAAAAAAGGGGAATGTACCAGAGTATAGTGGTACCAACACTTGTATAGGTGTGAAGCATGGGTTTTAAATATTACATCCAGGAGGTTGAAAGCAGTGAGGTGTTGTATTTGAGGGCAGTGCATTGTGTGAACATTATGCAGAGAATTCATAACTAGGAGATTAGAAGACAGTGTGGGGTTACCAAAAGTATTATTCAGGAGAATGGAGTAAAACAGGATTACTAGAAAAGCATATAAATCTGGGGCAGAGAGAAGGAGGGGTAAGAATCATATCAGGAAGGGTTGGGGGGAAGGGGTAAGGGAGATTTTGAGTGCCAAGGGGCTTGGACATCCAACAAGCTTGTGTGAGTGTATGAGATAGGAGTGATTATCAAATTGTATACAATACCGACAGGTTGGTAGATAAGACACACAGGCAACATTTAGGCAACTTTATTCCGAAACGTTTCGCCTACACAGTAGGCTTCTTCAGTCGAGTACAGAAAGTAGGCGGGAGCAGTAAAGATGTGAAGACGATGTAATCAATCTTTACTGCTCCCTCCTACTTTCTGTACTCGACTGAAGAAGCCTACTGTGTAGGCGAAACGTTTCGGAATAAAGTTGCCTAAATGTTGCCTGTGTGAGATAGGAGTGAGTGGAGGCAAATGGTATCTTTTATTTGATGTGCTGTTGGAGTATGAGCAAAGTAACATTTATGAAGGGATTCAGAGAACCCATTAGCAGGACTTGAGTCCAGGAAGGGAAAGGTACAGTGCCTGAACTCTGAAGGAGAGGTGGGTTTGTGGCAGTCGGGTCATCTGAGCTGTGATGTCAGCATGAATGATTGTGAAAGTCGTTTTGTTTTTTCTTTTTCAGTTTTTCAGGCCACCTTACCTCAGTGGGAGATGGCTGGTAAGTCAAAAACAAAATAATTTTAAGTTGCAGTACTAGGAGCACAAGTTTATTTGTGAATTTGAGGATCTACTACACATTTCATCCATAGCTAGCCTATCCTTATGGCTAGCTCTCCCCACAAATAATCATACAGTGTCAATATTTTATTTATTTCCATCAGGAGGAGACAAATCAAGCATTGCCAAAGAATCCTTTGTTTTTACCGACACTGAAGGTCAACTCTACCACTTCTCAGTCGAGGGCAATGTGATCAAGGATGGGACAAAAGTTCCACCAGATGTAAGTACACTACAGTAGGGATCCAACTTATGACATAATTATTTTTTTTTTAACACACCTGCCATCCCCCACCTTGGCAGGTATCTTTGATGGGTTCTGAGAGTTTTTCTTCTCCCAGGACCTGGAAATGGGCCAGGCTTGTCTGGTTATCCCTGGTCAACCAGGCTGTTGCTGCTGCTGGTGGTCCTGGGCCAGGCGTGTCTCGTGCTTGCCTGGTCAACCAGGCTATTGCTTAGGATGACCTAAATAGAAAAACTTAAGTTTTTCTTTTTACATTTATTAATTTATACGGAGAACGGGTTACTAGCCCCTTGCTTCTGGCATTTTAGTTGCCTACGGAGGAAGAATATGACATTGATATTTTCATAAAAAAAAAACTTACTTGGACAGTCAGAACTCGGAACTTGTTATTCCATAGACACTTGTGTTATAATAGGCGATGCATTTCTGAACCATAATATTTCATGTTAAGTTTAATTTTTACACTTTAATAATTTTTACATGATACTGTACATTTAATACAATGCATTTTTAATTGCAAATAGTGCCGAACAACATTTATTTAATGTGTACATGTTAACTAAATTATAGATAGTAGGTTGGTAGACAGCAACCGCCCAGGGAGGTACTACCGTCCTGCCAAGTGAGTGTAAAACGAAAGCCTGTAATTGTTTTACACGATGGTAGGATTGCTGGTGTCTTTTTTTCTGTCTCATAAACATGCAAGGTTTCAGGTACGTCTTGCTACTTCTACTTACACTTAGGTCACACTACACATACATGTACAAGCATATATATACACACCCCTCTGGGTTTTCTGCTATTTTCTTTCTAGTTCTTGTTCTTTTTTATTTCCTCTTATCTCCATGAGGAAGTGGAACAGAATTCTTCCTCCGTAAGCCATGAGTGTTGTAAGAGGCGACTAAAATGACAAGAGCAAGGGGCTAGTAACCCCTTCTCCTGTATAAATTACTAAATTTGAAAAGAGAAACTTTCGTTTTTCTTTTTGGGCCACCCTGCCTTGGTGGGATACGGCCGGTTTGTTGAAAGTAGAAAGAAAGAAGTTCTTGTTCTTGTTTATTTCCTCTTACCTCCATGGGGAAGTGGAACAGAATTCTTCCTCCGTAAGCCATGCATGTTGTAAGAGGCGACTAAAATACCAGGAGCAAGGGGCTAGTAACCCCTTCTTCTGTATATATTACTAAATGTAAAAGGAGAAACTTTCATTTTTTCTTTTGGGCCACTCCACCTCGGTGGGATACGGCCAGTGTGCTGAAAGATGTTAACTAAATTATAGGTAGTAGGTTGGTAGACAGCAACCGCCCAGGGAGGTACTACCGTCATGCCAAGTGAGTGTTAAACGAAAGCCTGTAATTGTTTTACATGATGGTAGGATTGCTGGTGTCTTTTGTCTGTCTCATAAATATGCAAGATTACAGGTATGTCTTGCTACTTCTACTTACACTTAGGTCACACTACACATATATGTACAAGCATGTATATACACACCCCGCTGGGTTTTCTTCTATTTTCTTACTAGCTCTTTTTTTTTTTTTTTTTTTCAACAAGTCGGCCGTCTCCCACCGAGGCAGGGTGACCCAAAAAAGAAAGAAAATCCCCAAAAAGAAAATACTTTCATCATCATTCAACACTTTCACCACACTCGCACACTATCACTGTTTTTGCAGAGGTGCTCAGAATACAACAGTTTAGAAGCATACACATATAAAGATACACAACATATCCCTCCAAACTGCCAATATCCCAAACCCCTCCTTTAACCCTTTGAGGGTTTTCGTCGTACTAGTACGTTTTACGCGTAGGGGTTTTTGACGTACTAGTACTCATAAATTCTAGCGCCCTCAAATCTAGTGGGAGAAAGCTGGTAGGCCTTCATATGAAAGAATGGGTCTATGTGGTCAGTGTGCACAGTCTAAAAAAAATCCTGCAGCACACAGTGCATAATGAGAAAAAAAAAACTTTGACCACTTTTTTTGAATAAATCAGCGACTTTGCAGTGTATTTTCGTATGGTATTTATTGTTGTATTCTAGTTTTCTTGGTCTCATTTTATAGAATGGAAGACATATTACAGAAATTGAGATGATTTTGACTGGTTTTACAAAGAAAGGTGCCTTGAAATTGAGCTCAAAGTAGCAGAAATGTTCGATTTTTACCAAACTTCAAAAGTAAACAAATCGTGCCAAGCGTGCAATACACGTCAACTGGTGAGTCTAATATTCTTTCACAAGTGCACCAATAATATTTATACCATTTTTTACACTAATGCAGTATTCTGCATAACAGTAAATCTTATATTTTTTGTGAAAATAAAAATTCAAAGTGGAAAGCAAAAGAATATAAGAGGGGCCTTGAGACATGACTAATGACTAGAGGAAATGTCATTTTAGTGCCAGGAATGTCTTTCTGGTTTATTCTGAACCCTATTCGGAAATTGGCATCTTTTGAAATTTGTGTGAAATTGGCAAAATTGCTAAATTCTGACCACTGTACTGGATAGTTGAATTTCATAAATGAGTGATTTCTTGCACCCATTCGATAGAAAAAATGTAGTTCTAGCGAAATATTCATGTTTTTTGTCGACTAGTACAGTGAAATTGGCCGAAAATGGGGCTCAAAGTGGGCAAAATCGCCGATGCGTAAACATCGCCGAGACCGCTAACTTTGCGAGAGCATAATTCCGTAAGTTTTCTATCAAATTTCAAACTTTTGGTGTCTTTATGATCGGGAAAAGATTCTCTATCTTTTCATAAGAGAAAATAATTTTTTTTTTTTTTTTAAATTTGGTCGACCCTGAGAACGAGTTTCGGAGAGGGCCTGTCGACCCTCAAAGGGTTAAAGTGCAGGCATTGTACTTCCCATTTCCAGGACTCAAGTCCGACTATATGAAAATAACCGGTTTCCCTGAATTTTTTTTTTTTTTTTTCAACAAGTCGGCCGTCTCCCACCGAGGCAGGGTGACCCAAAAAAAAGAAAGAAAATCCCCAAAAAGAAAATACTTTCATCATCATTCAACACTTTCACCACACTCGCACATTATCACTGTTTTTGCAGAGGTACTCAGAATACAACAGTTTAGAAGCATACACATATGAAGATACACAACATATCCCTCCAAACTGCCTGAATCCCTTCACTAAATATTACCCTGCTCACACTCCAACAGATCGTCAGGTCCCAAGTACCATTCGTCTCCATTCACTCCTAACTAACACACTCACGCACGCTTGCTGGAAGTCCAAGCCCCTTGTTCACAAAACCTCCTTTACCCCCTCTCTCCAACCCTTTCGAGGACGACCCCTACCCCGCCTTCCTTCCCCTATAGATTTATATGCTTTCCATGTCATTCTTCTTTGATCCATTCTCTCTAAATGACCAAACCACCTCAACAACCCCTCTTCTGCCCTCTGACTAATACTTTTATTAACTCCACACCTTTTCCTAATTTCCACACTCCAAATTTTCTGCATAATATTTACACCACACATTGCCCTTAAACAGGACATCTCCACTGCCTCCAACCGTCTCCTCGCTGCTGCATTTACCACCCAAGCTTCACACCCATATAAGAGTGTTGGTACTACTATACTTTCATACATTTCCTTCTTTACCTCCATAGATAACGTTTTTTGACTCCACATATACCTCAACGCACCACTCACCTTTTTTCCCTCATCAATTCTATGATTAACCTCATCCTTCATAAATCCATCCACCGACACGTCAACTCCCAAGTATCTGAAAACATTCACTTCTTCCATACTCCTCCCCAATTTGATATCCAATTTTTCTTTATCTAAATCATTTGACACCCTCATCACCTTACTCTTTTCTATGTTCACTTTCAACTTTCTACCTTTACACACATTCCCAAACTCATCCACTAACCTTTGCAATTTTTCTTTAGAATCTCCTATAAGCACAGTATCATCAGCAAAAAGTAACTGTGTCAATTCCCATTTTGAATTTGATTCCCCAAAATTTAATCCCACCCCTCTCCCAAACACCCTAGCATTTACTTCCTTTACAACCCCATCTATAAATATATTAAACAACCATGGTGACATTACACATCCCTGTCTAAGACCTACTTTTACCGGGAAGTATTCTCCCTCTCTTCTACACACCCTAACCTGAGCCTCACTATCCTTATAAAAACTCTTTACAGCATTTAGTAACTTACCACCTATTCCATATACTTGCAACATCTGCCACATTGCTCCTCTATCCACTCTATCATATGCCTTTTCTAAATCCATAAATGCAATAAAAACTTCCCTACCTTTATCTAAATACTGTTCACATATATGCTTCAATGTAAACACTTGATCTACACATCCCCTACCCACTCTGAAACCTCCTTGCTCATCCGCAATCCTACATTCTGTCTTACCTCTAATTCTTTCAATTATAACCCTACCGTACACTTTTCCTGGTATACTAGTTCTTGTTCTTGTTTATTTCCTCTTACCTCCATGGGGAAGTGGAACAGAATTCTTCCTCCGTAAGCCATGTGTGTTGTAAGAGGCGACTAAAATGCCGGAACAAGGGGCTAGTAACCCCTTCTCCCGTATAAATTACTAAATTTAAGTGAAACTTTGGTTTTTCTTTTTGGGCCACCCTGCCTTGGTGGGATACGGCCCGTGTGTTGAAAGAAAGAAAGAATGTTAACTAAATATAATAGAAGTAGAATACAGTATATAGTACAGTATTTACATTGAATAATGATACTGTCTTGCATATTGGAAGTTACTGCTCCTTGCTGGGAGCAAAGGGCTAGTAACTCCTTCCATACAAATTACTAAATGTAAATTGAAAATCTTTTGCCGCTCTGTTTCCGTCACCCTGCCTTGGTGGGCGAGTGAGGTGAGTCAGGACCTTATTGTATGTCTTACCTGCAGTGGATTCTTGGTATATTTCGCTTTTTTAAATAATTGTAAAGCAGTTTATGGGAAACCCTTCATAAATTGGATCACACCAAGGGCCTTTTCACTGCATCATAGAAGCTCCTCTTTTAAGTACAGCACAGTATATCCTTTTCATGTCTAGACAGTCTGCAGTATTAAAGAGTTTATTTAAATATTTCTAAAGACATTTCTGTATTAATTTATACACTTCCAACTTTGTGATTATTATATATTTGTATTAACCTTGTTGATATATACACACGTATCTTCTCGAGCTGTACATTTTAACTCTGTGTATCCTTGTCGTCATGCAGCTGTGGGTGCGCATTTATTTGAATAATTAAAGTTTTTATTCTAGCTAAGAAATTTTCAGAACTTCAAAGATTTTATTTCTTGTACACCCACAGTCTCAGATGAGTGCTATCACCTCCATCGCTTGGAAGAGCCACGAGATAGTGCTGAGTGATGCTGATGGTAACCTGATAGTGTGGGACCTGAAAACTCGCATCTCCAGACATATAGCCACTCATCGGGGTTGGATTCGCAAAGTGCGCTTTGCTCCAGGACGAGATAACATGAAACTTGTTGTGCTTTTTGCTGATGGAATTGATATCTGGGATGTGAGAGATGTAAGTGTGATGAATGTCGTGATTTTTTCCCCCTCTCATAATAGCAAGAAATTAATATTCCTGATAAACTTATGAATTTATTTAGAGATTAATATTCCTGATAGACATCATAATTTATGTAATGGAATGCTTGGGTCATGTGAGTTGTGATGTTGGTACATCTTTGGCAAGGAAGCTGATCCACCATATTAGTGAGGTATATCTGTAGTGACTTTGTTTCTTTTCACCTGACTCATTTGCTCTATGTACACAGTAGATTATTTATTTGCTTAGATTTCTCAATCTTATTTTGTTAGGTGGTGCTAGTGAGCCAGGTAAAGTCACCACGGGATATTGTGAAAGTGGTGGATGTGGACTGGGGAGCATCAGACCGTCCTGTTCTGGCTACCATTGACGGATGCCTTCGGGTGATGGACATGGCGCTTAAGTCTTCCAGTACTCCAATATACCAGTATTGTACCAAAGGTTTGTTGTACAAAGTCCTTTACCATTAATTTTACTGAGCTTGTTTCAGCTACTTGTGCATTAAACGATGTAAGGCCTGTAAAAATAAATTATATAAAAAAGCAAGTAAATAACTTATTAATTATTCTCTATTTATTATATTTTTGCAGAGCCAATAGTATCTCCTTACCTGTTAGCTGGTGAGGCTTCACTCAACCTGCGAACTTTGATGACCCAGCAGCCATGGCGACCACATTACTCTCTCTCATTCACAGGAGAAGATGGCTTCACACCAGAACAACTGCACAGTAAGTTGGCAGTGTTTGTTTATACCCATGTTGCTTGTACCCTACATCCTGCCTCCCCAACACTGGCTTACCTTAAGACTTGATCAATTGTTGGTGGTGCTCCTCCACCAAGAGAGTGAGTGTAAGAAATATTTGGCAAAGAACTATACTCCCACTTGCTTTGAGTATCTCAGTTTTTTTTTTTAATACACCGGCTGTTTCCCACTGAGGCCGGGTGACCCGAAAAAGAAGAAACGCTTTCATCATCATCATCATTCACTCCATCACTGTCTTGCCAGAGGCATGCCTATGCTACAGTTAAAAAACTGAAACATATTAACACCCGAGCTTCAGAGTGCAGGCACTGTACTTCCCACCTCCAGGACTCAAGTCTGACTAACTGGTTTCTCAGAATCCCTTCATAAATGTTACTTTGCTCACACTCCAACAGCACATAAAAAATTATAAGGCAAAAAACTATATCCCCACCTGCTCTGATTATCTCAGTCTCTATATGGTATTATTTTTTTTTTTTTTCAACAAGTTGGCCGTCTCCCACCGAGGCAGGGTGACCCAAAAAAGAAAGAAAATCCCAAAAAGAAAATGCTTTCATCATCATTCAACACTTTCACCACACTCACACATAATCACTGTTTTTGCAGAGGTGCTCAGAATACAACAGTTTAGAAGCATATACGTATAAAGATACACAACATATCCCTCCAAACTGCCAATATCCCAAACCCCTCCTTTAAAGTGCAGGCATTGTACTTCCCATTTCCAGGACTCAAGTCCGACTATATGAAAATAACCGGTTTCCCTGAATCCCTTCACTAAATATTACCCTGCTCACACTCCAACAGATCGTCAGGTCCCAAGTATCATTCGTCTCCATTCACTCCTATCTAACACGCTCATGCACGCTTGCTGGAAGTCCAAGCCCCTCACCCACAAAACCTCCTTTACCCCCTCTTTCCAACCCTTTCGAGGACGACCCCTACCCCTCTTTCCTTCCCCTATAGATTTAATATGCTTTCCATGTCATTCTACTTTGATCCATTCTCTCTAAATGACCAAACCACCTCAACAACCCCTCTTCTGCCCTCTGACTAATGCTTTTATTAACTCCACACCTTCTCCTAATTTCCACACTCCGAATTTTCTGCATAATATTTACACCACACATTGCCCTTAGACAGGACATCTCCACTGCCTCCAACCGTCTCCTCGCTGCTGCATTTACCACCCAAGCTTCACATCCATATAAGAGTGTTGGTACTACTATACTTTCATACATTCCCTTCTTTGCCTCCATAGATAACGTTTTTTGACTCCACATATACCTCAACGCACCACTCACCTTTTTTCCCTCATCAATTCTATGAATCCCTTCACTAAATATTACCCTGCTCACACTCCAACTGATCGTCAGGTCTATTATTACATAGTATTATTACATAGTAATAAAACTGTAGTACTCCATGGGGAAGTAAAGAAGAATTCCTCCTCTGTAAGCCATGCATGTCATAAGGGGCAACTAAAATGCTGAGAGCAAGGAAAACCTTCACATTTTCTTCTTTTTGGGTCACCCTGCCTTGGTGGGAGATGGCCGTTGTATTAAAAACTAGTAATAATAATCTTGCTATCACATCCACAGATTAATAAACAGTAAACAGTTATACCACACAGGTTCATTACACTTAGGTTTAAGGAATCTGTAATATATATAGGCAGGCCCCATTTATGCAGCAGGTTAGGTTCTGGACTGCTGATGTAAAGTGAAAATCACAGTAAAGTGAGATGTAGCCTTTTTCACTTTCAAATGCACATAAACACCTAATAACATGTTTACAATATCATATATTTAGTGAGCATTAGAGCCAGGCCTAAAATTGCATATACAGTACACATATTACTTACCTTAAAATATTTTTGTCCAAATCTTATAGTGAGTGGTGAATATATTTATTGTAGGAAGTCTGAATAAATGAAGAACGAGCGTAATTAAAAACCTCTGCATTAGTGAAATGCAGTAAAACAAAATGCTGTAAAGTGAGTCCCTCCTGTACAGGTTATGTTGAAATAATGCAGGACACCACCTTTATAGATGTGAGCTCTTTTTCTGTAGATGCATTTAAGAACATAAGAAAGGAGGAGCACTGCAGGAGGCCTGTTGGCCCATACTAGGCAGGTCCTTTACAATTCATCCCACTAACAAAACATTTGCCCAACCCAATTTTCAGTGCTACCCAAGAAATAAGCTCTGATGTGCAAGTCCCACTCAAATCCATCCCCTCCCACTCATGTACTTATCCAACCTAAATTTGAAACTTCCCAAAGTCCTAGCCTCAATAACCCAACTAGGTAGACTGTTCCACTCATCAACTACCCTATTTCCCTATTTATGCATAAAATTTTGCATTTGCAGGTATAGAGGTTTGGCTGTCACGAATTCCTGCGGAACTGCGTGAATTTCTGGAGACATGCGGGTCCACAGCTCACCGAGCTCTGGTGACTGCACAGCTGTTTGGCGACCAAGGAGAAATAGATTTCTGGACAGTTGCCTGCCATTATCTCACCCAACCGCCACTAACTCACTCCAAGGTAGTACGTACACCTGACTATTGCAGTACTAATGATCTATATCCCTAGTACTGGCTCATTTAATTTAAACACTTCTGAGAGTACGGTACTATCTTAAGTTTTTCTTTACATCATCCAGTAAAAATATAAATTTATGTATGTATTGAGTTGAGTTCTGAGGTGCACTCCGGAGGATGGGTCAGGATGTTGCTCTTTAAACGTTTACCTTATTTATACCTTACCTAAGTGAGCCTAACCTTACTTTGTATTACAGTGTATTTATTAATGATAAATTACAGACTGGTGAAAGTGTTTCTTTTTCTGGTCACGTCACCTCAGTGGGAGAGCCAGCGTGTTGAAAAAAATAGTTCAATTCAGAAAGTCTTCAACCTGCAAACGCCCCAAATTACACACATTTTCAAGTGAGAGACAAACTTATGTGAAACATCACCAACCTCCTTATTACTATTTACTATACAAAGAACATAAGAACATAAGAATGCAGGAACACTGCAGAAGGCCTACTGGCCCATACGAGGCAGGTCCTTATCAAAACGACCTCTACCTAAAGCTACCCAAGAAATAACTCCCGTACCCCATGACACCAGTCAAACCCAGAGCTCATTTGTATGTCAAAAAACGAGGAATGCAGCTACCTCATTTGTAAATTGGAACCTGTATGTTACTTTCACTTTGTGAGGATTGAGTTTAAAGACTGAACTATTTTATTGTTGAATTTTTTTCTCTTCTTTTAGGATGAGAGCAGCAGTAGCAACAGCAGTGTTGGTAGTGCAGAATTAATCACCCTGGGTGACTCTGCTTCAGAGAAGAGTGGTGGGAGTGAAGATCTCTGTCCTCCAACAACCCTCCCACCTTCCCACCCACTTGAAACCACTTATCATCATCTGTGTGATGCTGCTACTTATAAAGTATGTACTATTAGAATTTTATTATTTGTATATTTTCTTTGTATAAGATCTTGTTATGATCATCATCATTATTCCTAAGGCTTCAGCGGGATAAGCATGAATTTAGGAATGTTGGCAGGTCTTTAGCCCGGGGGGATTAGTTCCCCATGTTTGCGTGGTGCAAAACTTTCCTCTTATCACATTACAAAAAAACTTGCATAACATTTGCAACAGAATTTAAATACTAGTAAAAATTTAGATTTTCTTAAAACAAATGTAGCATCCTATTTTTAAGTTCTTTCTTGGTTAGAATTGTCACTGCCCTTTTTTTACCCTTTTATGTTCATAAATCTTGTACCTTGCTCGTTTTACAATTTATATTTTTAGTTATTTCTTTTTAACAGCATCATGAACTAGAGCGTTTAGCCATACACGAGAGCAAGAACTTAGAAGGTGCACAGCGAGCAACACTTGGTCGTTGTCTGGCAGTGATCGGTGAAAGAGATCGTGCTGTCAGACTTCTGCTGGATGCTGATGCCTCAAACCAACACTTCTACACAGACTGCTTACGAGCATGTCTGCTCGCTGCCACCCATCACTCTACCCAAGCTCAGTCTACAATTAAACTTGTAGCTACCAACTTGATTGCTGCTGGCAATATATGGGAAGGTGAGTAGGTCTCAGAAGGAAGTAGAATGTAGAATACAATGGTCCCTTGAGTTACAATAATTTTCAGTTGCTAATAATGATTAAAGATGCATATGAGAAAGTTTTTTTTTACATAAGGGATATTAAAGGCTAAATAGTTAGGTTAGGCAGGGTATAGCAACAAAATACTAGATGTGGGCAGTTGTAATTATGAAAAAATTTGGTTGAACTGAAGTTTCACAGATTCCTGTTCCTTTCTGAGAGATGACGTAATTGAGGACAAAGTCTGTGTTTTACAACTGTCTGCATCTATCAATTTCAGGTACATAAGATTCATTTTCCCATGAAATGTGGCCTATATTATTTTGTCAGTCTATATACAGTAATAATTCTGCCAAGGCCCAAAACTGTATACTGCTGTATTGTTAGAGAGTATTGCAGTTGTATTTTTTGTCAATTCACCAGCCATCTTCCACCAAGACAGGGTGAACTAAAAAGAAAAATGAAAGTTTTTCTTTTTACATATAGGCCCTTAACCTACATTCTCTTGTAAGACTTAGATTGAGGAGAGATGTGATTAAAGATTCTAAGTGGAAGATGAGCATAAATAAAGGAGATACAGATAAGGTTCTGAGGATATCCCTCGAAATAATGTATTCAAATTGGATAAGTTTAGATTTAGAAAGTGTGTAGGAAAGTACTGGTTTGGAAATAGAGTAGTCAATGAGCAGAACAGTCTGCCTAGTAGGGTCATTGAAGGTAAAACCTTTAGCTTTAAATAAAAGGTTAAATAAATATATTAGTGCAAGGAGTTAGATTTGAATAGGACTTGCAGAACTTGGGCAACATTGAAAATATGTTGGGAAAACATTTTTGTTAGTAGGTTTGGGTTTGAGAAGGACCTGCCTATTATGGGCCAGTAGGCCTGCTGTAGTGTTCCTCCTTTTTTATGTTCTAAGAGTCAATGATTTCTGCAGAACAGACACACTATATTTTTTGCAGGTGTTGAGTTGTTGTGCTTGATTGGTAAGGCTGGTGATGCTTGCCGTTACCTGCAGTCCTATGGCAACTGGGAGCATTCAGTGTGGCTGGCCAAGTGTGCTCTTCCTATCCATGAATCTGTTGATATCCTTAAACGATGGGCTCAGCACCTCATTACTTCTGGCAATAAAGTACAGTATTTATGTTATTAGTTCAGGGTATTATCCTGACCATGGTCTGGTCTTAGATTGGGCCATAATGAAGATCAAATCAAACTTTCTTTACATGTACAGAAAGAATAAAAAGGCACAATACTGTGACTGGAACAGTACACATGTAACCTGCATATAGAAGACTGACACTTATAATAATGTTTTGGTCTGGCTTGGACCATTAACTACTAGTTTCTTACTAAAGTAAGATTACCCAAAGAGGGAAATGCATTTACCATCACTCATTCAATATCTGTCTTGCTAGAAATGTGCAGACATCACAGTTCAGATGACTGCAACATCTTCTCTCATCCTTCAGAGTGCAGGCACTGGTCATCTCCAGAACTCAGGTCTGGCTAATTAGCTTCCTTAAGTCGTTTCATAAATGTTACAGTGCCCACACTCCAACAGCATGTTAAATCCCAAAAAGCCACTTGTCTCCTCTCATTTCAATCTAGCATGCTTGCACATGAGTAATGTACAGTAACATGAAATGTGTGAATTTGCTTGCAAAAGAAAAATAAAAATGATCTCAATAGAGATGCCACTTACACAAATGAGTTTGAGTGTTGATCATGCAAGGATTAATAATAATAATCTTCATTTCTGCAAGTACATGTACAATGTAGACAGACCTACCTGACACCACTGACATACTACTACATAGTTAGCCCCTTGTTATGCAGAGCATTTCAGACAAATTAGGTCAATTTTGTCCCCAGGATGTGACCCACACCAGTGAACTAACACTCAAGTACCTATTTTACTGCTATGTGAACAGGAACAGTGGTGTCTTAAGGAAATACATCCTAATGTTTCTAGCCATACTGGGGATTGAACCATGGACCTCAGTGTGTGAGCTGAGTGCACTAGCAACCCAACCACAGACACATATCACTTTACTCCTTGTGAATTAGTTAGCATATTTGATGAGTTAATTTTTCCTAACTACAAGCTGTGTTGAATGTAGTGTCATCTCAGTAATTTTATATTGCAGGACCAAGGTGTGTGTGCCTTGTTATCTGTGGGTAGCATAACTGCTGCATTGGAGCAGTTGGTACAGCAGCATTACCACCAGAGAGCAGCATTACTGCTTGCAGCAGCTCAACAGCTTCAAGTGGTGCCCAACACACAGCAGCAGCAGCAGCAGCAGCAACTAACAGCCTCTACATCCTTAGGTTCACAATCAGGTTTCTCTCCTGTTCTCTCTGCTGCTGCTTCTCTGGCTTCCTTTGCTGAAAACATTCACAGGTAAAGTTAAACATTAGTATTTTTATAAGTAGCCCACAAATTGGAAATAAATCCTAATGACAATTAATCTTATAACAAGTTCTGAATCATTATCATCATGCATCATTATCACTTGATAATGATGCTTGATAAAACAAATGTCTGTCTCAAGACTGATCTCCAGTTTGTGGGATACTTGTGAATTATTCTAGCCACAATATTGTCTCTTATTCTTCATTATTATTTTATATAGCAGTGGAAAGTTTTTCGTGAGATTAAATTAACTAGCACTTATCAGAAAGATTTTTGATTGAGCAATTATCTGGATACTGAGTAAAAAAAAATCAGATCTGTACCATATTGGCTGAACAGATTGATGTATGTGTAAGTATGATCTGGATTTATCTCAGAGATATTGTTCTAGATTATTGTACTTTTCTGTAATCTTTACTGATAATGTGAAAATAGAAATAAGAGAAAAGGCAAGAGAAATGTAATAATGTTGGTAGAATTACCGACAATATGTAAAGTAAAAGGACACAAGTGCAACTAATGTGACATTTTATTGTGGCAACGTTTCGCTCTCCAGGAGCTTTGTCAAGTCGTATCGGCTTGACAAAGCTCCTGGAGAGTGAAACGTTGCCACAATAAAATGTCACATTAGTTGCACTTGTGTCCTTTTACTTTACAAGAGAAATGTGTAATGAAAAATTTAAATTGTCTGAATATCACTATAGCTGCTACAACTTAGCATGGTATAGGATTTTTTTTTTTTTACATCATTTGTTTCCTGTTAAAAGTAAAATATTTTTGGTCAGTTATATATTTGTTGTTTGTCATGAATATTGCATATCGTCATTGTTACCCAGTTTTCTTCTACATAGGGAGGGGAAGCCATCAATTAATATACTGGACAGTTTACCATATAATCACTGTTTCTTGCAGGAAGTACGTCCTTCATCTGTTTAGCCTGGGAAATCGACCAGCTGTGACCTATTTCTGCCGTCTAATGGGAGAGAAAGGAAACAGTCTTTTACAGGAGCTGGACTCGTTACAGTAAATACAATCCTGTATCCCCTTACTGCCTTCCTACACCTGCATCCTGCATACAACACTCAGTGTGACAAAAAGATACAATGTGATACATTATGTGGAAAAGTTCATCGTTCTCTCTTCTATGACTTTTATACATGTACTATATTGTGAGTCCAAAAATTATAATGAGATGTCTACCAGTGAGCTTAATTTGTTTTGCTTATTTTCAAACACTGGTCGAATAAATTTTGCACATTTTTACACTGATATTTGGCAAGCAGAGTGTACATTCATGTACACTTTACAGTGGATACAGACACTGTATATCCAGACTTTGCAGTCTCTTAAACATTCCAATGATTTGCTTATTGTTGCATGCATTTAGAATTACAGTATTGAAGGTATCTGAGTTGGGAGTAGCTAATACATAGGCCAGTCAATATTCCAGCTTATGTAATAGCAATGCTAATTCCTGTATGTACTGTATATATTATTATTATTATTATTATAATAAAAAAGAATGTACTGTATATAAACAAATGTTTATGGAGACTTATGCAGTAATTGAAATAAGAATTTTTTTGGCTTCATATTCAAGTCCTCTTCATTAGTTTAAAATGTAAGAAAGAGCCTTCATGTGAGTTGATATATATAGGAGGCCCTTGTTCATACAGCTCTCAGTGTGATGCCACTCGTCCTTCCCTTACGCAACTGTTGTACGAAAATGGCAATAACAGTGGCTCAGCGGTAAAAACACAGAACATAATGAACAATGGCTCAATTGAAAGCCAACAAAATGTGGAATACAGAAATAAGGTGCTGTATACACAGGGCCCTCCTGTACAGCACTCATTTTAGTTACTGTTTTGTTTTCTCCATGTGGGTTCATTAGTATCATTAATTAATGTTTATTATACTTTTGTGATTGATTATTGCATAATTTAAGTAAAGAATTAGCTGTTGACTCGACTGCTATTGTCATTTGTTTATCAGTTTCCAGGTCAACTTATGGAGAAGACTTGGGCCAGGACCTGTCCTGGTAAACTTATGTGCACATGTTTTATCAATATATTAAAATTTCATAAATTACTTGTTGTTGTTGTGTGTACTTCAGGTGGGACTCTACAACTGAATTATGAGGCTACAGTTCTTTATTGGTACATCCTTCATATTGAAATGCCCCAACACAGTTTGTTCATAGCCTGGATGAGACTTACATTCATTTGTATTATATTTATTCTTCCTTGGATGAGAGTACTGTGGTGGTGTACACCTTAGATGATAGCACTGTGGTGGTGTACACCTTGGATGATAGCACTGTGGTGATGTACACCTTGGATGATAGCACTGTGGTGATGTACACCTTGGATGATAGCACTGTGGTGATGTACACCTTGGATAATAGCACTGTAGTGATGTACACCTTGGATGATAGCACTGTGGTGATGTACACCTTGGATAATAGCACTGTAGTGATGTACACCTTGGATAATAGCACTGTAGTGATGTACACCTTGGATGATAGCACTGTGGTGATGTACACCTTGGATAATAGCACTGTAGTGATGTATACCTTGGATAATACCACTGTGGTGATGTACACCTTGGATGATAGCACTGTGGTGATGTACACCTTGGATGATAGCACTGTAGTGATGTACACCTTGGATGATAGCACTGTAGTGATGTACACCTTGGATAATAGTACTGTGGTGATGTACACCTTGGATAATAGTACTGTGGTGATGTACACCTGTAAAACAGGTTAACTTAATTTCATATGTACAGTATATAGAGGTTAAAAAATGTAATAATTTCCATAGTTATTTGTTGATCAATGACAGATCTATATTTACACAGTATTATCATACTGTATGTTGTCTGAAGTTAATAACGATGTAAAATTGAGCGTTTAGAGTTAGATACAAATTATTTCAGTATTATGAGAGAGCAGGGCTTAAAATTTTTAATAGGTGACATGTGTGGTCATTAAATAAGAATTTTGACACGAGGTTTAAGACTAGTCGGAGTAAAAGTAGTGACAGATATATGTATAGACACAGAGACAGAAACATTTAGCATATAATGCAGTACCTCTACGTAAGTGAGCACACCTTTCTTGTTTTTTTACAGAAAATAGATACTGTATTTCATTGGTAGGAAGATGAGGTGAGCCCCAGAATTGACAAAGGGCAAAAAACCAGGTCTGTGATGTGTTGAGACATTTGTGGAGACATACCTTTATCCATGGAAGCAAAAGGGAAAATGTATTACAGTATAGTGGTACCAACACTGTTGTATGGATGTGAAGCATGGGTTTTAAACATTGCAGCATTCTCCTGTCATGTTTTTACACCATCATCCTATTTATTAATTGGCCAACATTTTTTTTTTTTTTCAACAAACCGGCCGTATCCCACCAAGGCAGGGTGGCCCAAAAAGAAAAACGAAAGCTTCTCTTTTTAAATTTAGTAAAATTGGCCAACATATGTTGCTCATTTACTGTAGTTGGTATGAAGCAAATAAGAGCAAATGTTTCCTGTTCTGTAAACATTTAAGGTTTTTGTGCCAAGGAATGTGAGATAAGGTAATTTGAACTGGACACAGCATGTTGTAATTTATTATACATTTTGAACACTAGCATTGCCTGATGCTTAATATTATATAGTGACTATTGGTATAGCCTTAGTCTTACTGTATTGCTTGGTAACTCAGATATTCTAGCAAATATGCTGAAAATTTGTCATAAATGTAACAATTCAAATGGAGTGATACGGCTTGAATTTTTTGCATAGTAGTCCTAAAATTACTAGTCCAGGCTTCTTAGCTACCAACATCACACAGACTGCTAAGAATTTTCCAACTACAAGAGTTTGGTGGGCACCCAGTTAGTAATTCTAGGACTGCTAAACCACATGTTCACACCAGTGTCAATATATTTAAATTTTTGGTAAGGTCTGCTGTGGCCTTCACTGCAGATTTACAGTATTGATAAATAGGTAAAGATAAATATTACCTTTTTTCATTTTTAAATCTGTAAAGGACCATTTTGTATGTTTTCAGAGAAAGCCAGTGCTTTATTTGTAACTTATTATTTTTAATATTATATTTTCCCTCTGTACAAAGACCACTGAATCCATCCACTCAATCAGTCCCACTTTCCATGCTTCATTGTATGAGTTAATAAAGCCATACTGAGTGGTGTATTAAAGAATAGAATTGACAGAATCGTATGGTCATTCTATATTGTGTAATCACTTCCTTTAACCATTCTAAAATATTTTACTTATTGTTTTAATATACATCAGTGTTAAGTAAAGGATGCATTTGATAGGGAAGCAAAGGTCAGATAAGTGAGTACTGAACTGTATTAGGATAAGGATAGTCAGGCAAGACATATTAAAAACTATATATTTTTATATTACTGATAATGTGTTGCCTAACTCTGATATTGGTACTAGAGTTGAATATTTCAAAGCCAAAGTATTTAGTTTTAGGATACTTAAACATTCCTAGTTATTAATCACTTGTATTTATGGTACTTATGCAAGTCCTCATAAATGAGTTCTCTAAGAAGCAAATGTCAGTGATAATTCTAGTGATACGAATGGTTGGTGAATATAACATGCCGGATAATATGCAGCGGTCAGTAGTCTCACTAGCAGCCATGGGAAAAGTTGTTAGTGTGCTCACACTTGTGTATCACTTGCAGTAGTGTTAGGTAAATGGACCCAGATGCAACTTAATGTGACATTTTATTGTGGCAACATTTCATTATCCTGGAAACCAAACATTGCTTCAATAAAATGCCACATTAGTTTCATCTGGGTCCATTTAAATAACATTTTGTCTGTAATTCTACCATTATTACTTGCAATAGTACCTCAGTTTTGTGTTTTAGTGCTATAGTCTTGGCATCAGTTGGAACATAAGGTATATTCGAAGGCAAGTTACAAATACACAACTTATAACTTAGACTTTATTGATCATTCTCCAGCTTCCTCTAAGAGCCACCAGTGCTAATGACCTATAGTAGTTGCAGCATCTATTACAGAAAAAATAAAGCCACTATGACACTACTGTATTATACCATACTAGTTTTCCCATGCATCTAGAGAGTAAGCTGTTTCCTTCTGTTAAAGGATATCATCTAATATTTATATACTAAAGTTTTTATTATTTATTTATTATCACACTGGCCGATTCCCACCAAGGCAGGGTGGCCCGAAAAAGAAAAACTTTCACCATCATTCACTCCATCACTGTCTTGCCAGAAGGGTGCTTTACACTACAGTTTTTAAACTGCAACATTAACACCCCTCCTTCAGAGTGCAGACACTGTACTTCCCATCTCCAGGACTCAAGTCCGGCCTGCCGGTTTCCCTGAACCCCTTCATAAATGTTACTTTGCTCACACTCCAACAGCACGTCAAGTATTATTATCATTATTATTGTTTATAAAAATGCTAAATCTATACTACAAGTTATTCAGCACTTGGCCCCTAATACTTTTTTTTTTTTTTTTTTTTTTTATTATCACACCGGCCGATTCCCACCAAGGCAGGGTGGCCCGAAAAAGAAAAACTTTCACCATCATTCACTCCATCACTGTCTTGCCAGAAGGGTGCTTTACACTACAGTTTTTAAACTGCAACATTAACACCCCTCCTTCAGAGTGCAGGCACTGTACTTCCCATCTCCAGGACTCAAGTCCGGCCTGCCGGTTTCCCTGAATCCCTTCATAAATGTTACTTTGCTCACACTCCAACAGCACGTCAAGTATTAAAAACCATTTGTCTCCATTCACTCCTATCAAACACGCTCACGCATGCCTGCTGGAAGTCCAAGCCCCTCGCACACAAAACCTCCTTTACCCCCTCCCTCCAACCCTTCCTAGGCCGACCCCTACCCCGCCTTCCTTCCACTACAGACTGATACACTCTTGAAGTCATTCTGTTTCGCTCCATTCTCTCTACATGTCCGAACCACCTCAACAACCCTTCCTCAGCCCTCTGGACAACAGTTTTGGTAATCCCACACCTCCTCCTAACTTCCAAACTACGAATTCTCTGCATTATATTCACACCACACATTGCCCTCAGACATGACATCTCCACTGCCTCCAGCCTTCTCCTCGCTGCAACATTCATCACCCACGCTTCACACCCCTAATACTTCTATTCTTATAATGTTGTAATTGCCTTAGGCAGCACAGTTATTTTGGTGCTTGAAAGAATATGTCTGTTACTGTACATCGGTATGTGAAGAGTAACGAGGATATTTATGGTTATTTTGCTGTATAGTCATGATGAATTAATTCCTTAGTGATTATATGACACTAATTGTAGGAAACACTGCTTAGTACTTATTGTTGCTGCATGATGTATGATTCACTGTGTCATTATTATGTATGTAGATGAAGTATAGCATAGGAGTCACACAGCCCTTGGAAAATTAGGAAAGTTTGGGTGGTAGTAACCTGGTTTGATATGAAGAGGGGGAGGATAGCTCTGGTTCCCTGAATCAAGAACCCTTTGTTGCCTTCACAATACCCCCATTGAAGAATCCTGTGACATAAAGTTACAGTGTAAATAATATACATGCCATAATTTAGTATGCTATTATTGCACAAATAATTACTTAGTAATATAGTAGTATGCTCATCCATTATAATTTTTTAGATATGCATTTTATCTCTGTGATCAAACTCTTCATAAAAATGTACTTTGTTGAATTTTTTGTCCCTATATGACCCTTGTGGGATTTGCTTGTAATAATAATAATGATTTGTTCCTGTAATACCATTATAAAATTATTAACTTTCGTTACCTGTAGAGGGTTTATGCTATATAATTATGAGTATAATACTTACCATTCCTAAACTGCCCAGTAAACCTGTTATGTATTAATAACAGCCTCAGGCTTAGCAAATTTGCACAAAAAACATACTAGTCGGTGTATTTTTTTAAATATTTGTAAAAAATTGTTCACGTCGTAGGAGGAACTAGAAGGTGTAACCTCTCAAGGGAAGTAGGTGCCTTGATGCCAGTGAGGGAATTGAATCTATCCTCTCTTTCTTTGGTATGAACCTGATTGCCTCCCATTTCCTCATGTGATGTGTGTTCCCTGTGGGTTTAGCATTTCCTCATGAATTTAATAATAATGAAGCTAAAAGTAAAGCCCCTCAGATATGTATGAAGGCGGCACTGACCAGGAGATGGGATTTTCAAGGTCAGTATTGTGTGATGCAACTGAAGGTTGTAGATTATTCTGCCACAGCTTTTTGTATGCGTCTTGACTTGTAATTTGCTTGTTGCCATTTTTCAGACTTGTATTTTCATGAAATGTTTCATTTGTAAGGGTTATATAGCACGGAAATTTTAACCAAGGAAATATTCTTGCCCTTTAAACCACATATAATGCTCGGATCGTTGTTCTCCAAATTTTTCCCCTCCCCTATTTACTATGTAACAAGGATATGGTGAGAGTATACTCGAGATACTGGCAGTGTAGCGATAGTATTTCAGTTCTAGGTGTTGTAATTGGTATATCTTAAGATTTCTTGTTGATTTATTTTAACCCGTAAACGGTCCAGGCAGATCTACGTTCACATGTGTAGTGCTCCAAAAGTAGATCTTTTTTTTTTTTTTCCTCTTCAAGGGGGGCTCCTTGGTGTGGTGAAGAGGCTCTTGGTCTGAGGAATTAGACCTGTCAGTCTCCTTCCTCAGACGGAACCTAATTACCCCCCAATCCCCCCTTCCCTATCCCATCCTCCCCTTTTCCCTCTCCTCCTCCCCCTCCCCACCCCTCCCTTTTGCCCTTCCTCTTTTTGGCCTTTGGGATTTTTCCCACAGGCGCGCTAGTTCCTAGGTAGGGGAAAGGGTACCGGGGTCCATCCCATTCCGTTGAGGTTCTTGGCGGTGGCGTAGTTTGCCGTGGAATCTGGATCGCCTGGGGATGTCCCAATCCCTCTCCTGTATCCTGGAGAGTGGTTTTGGGTGTCTTTTGGGTGACGGGTGTATCTCTGGAAGCCACCTTTCGGATTCCGGGGGTGGTGGCCGAAGGAGGTATGCTTTGTGGCGGATATCCGGCCGCCCTCTCTTTTGTCCACCAAGGTAGCTCGGCAGATGTGAGGTTGCTATCCCGGATTGCTGGTTTACTGGCATGATGGGTAGGGTATGGCACGGGTTCCATGCTGCATCTACGCTACTTGCAGTGCTGAGGTCCTCTTGGGTGCGGAGGGAGATTTCTGGCCCCTTCATTACTCCTAGGAACTATCCCTCCCCGGTCTCCCCTTTTTTTTATTCTTTTTTTTATTTTTATTTTCTTTTCTTCTTTCTTTTTTTTTTCTTAAAAACAAAAAGAAAGAAGTAACCTAACCAAGGAGAAACTAATCCATGAACCTGGTACCCCCGGGCCCCTTCTTGATACCACACCCCGTTCTGACCCCACCTCGTCTTTGGACCACTCTTCGGACACTCCTCATGCCTCTGTACCTCTTGCCGGTGCTGTTTCCTCACCCGCTTCAGGTATTGAGGTCTCGACTGACTCCTTTGATTTATCTGACCTCCGCTCTCCTTTGACTATGCTTCCGGCCTTTCCCTCTACAGTGCGGCAATTTTCGAATCACTGGCCCATTCCACATCGGACCAACTCTGGTCTCACGCCTAAACGCCAACGACAATTACCTGCTGATGATACTTCTCCACCTTCTTGTTCTTCTCAGAAAAGATCGACACGTCCTTCACTACCTTTCCACGCTCAGTTTCAGAATGCACAATGGACTAAATTCTTCACTTTACAACCAACTTCCTCTACCGCCTATCTTTCCGACCACAGTATTGGCAAGGCACTCCTACGCCATGTTGGTAAAGATATTTCTTTTCATGCTCTTAAGAGCGGTACGCGCATCATCACTGTACAGAATGCTACCCAAGCTCATGATCTTTCTCTTCTTTCACATATAGATACTGTTCCTGTCACTATTGAAAAACATCATTCCCTCAATTCTTGTAGTAGTACCGTCATTCTGCCCCATACTATAGTTCAATAAAATTTCCAGACATGTGGCAATGACATTCTTGAACAGCTGGAACTCCAAGATCTCCCAATCCTCAAGGTAGACACTTATGTTCTTCCTGCCCGCGGGCGGAGACGATACCCTAGCAATGTGGCTCGTTTAACTTTTGACAGCCGTGAACTCCCATCCTCAGTTTATGTAGCAGGACATCGGTTACAAGTTCGAAAGGTGATCCCTACACCGCAACAGTGTAGAAATTGCTGGTGATTTGGCCATCCAGCGAAATATTGCAGATCCATAGCCGAATGCCCAGTCTGTGGTGCCGATGACCATTCTAATACGTCTTGCAATCGACCTCCCTCTTGCCTTAATTGTCATGAGGCTCACCCTTCATACTCTCGCCGTTGCCAAGTCTACTTAAATGAGCGGGAAATCCATTACCTCAAAGAGGCAGAAGGTCTCCCTTATGCCATGGCAGTTTCTCATCTCCGCCTCCAAGGGAGACTACCTCGTGGTTCTTATTCCCGTGTTTCAAAACGTCCCCCCACTTCTGGGGTCCCATCTTCTGCAACCTCCTCTGTGGTTACCTCTCCCATAGTCACTCCTGTATCTAATTCTTTTGCTGTCCTAGGCTCAGACGTCCCACTTCAACGCCTCAGTCTGTTCTCGCTTCTTCGTGTTCTCCCTCACAAGCCTCAGTATCGACGAGACCTCGTACGACACCTCCTCCCAATCGTCCCTCTACTTCTCAGAAGTCAAAAAAGGTCCTTTAACCCCTCCTTCCCTTCTTCCACCTCCTCATTTTACCTCCCCTGTCTCTGTACTGGGTTCTTCCCCTCTCACTGGCTGTTACAAGTGTAGAGGTTCACCCTCCTCCTCGTACTATACCTACCTCCCCTTTTCCCTCCCAAGTTTCTTCCTCTTCTGCCACCTCGCAGGTTTCTGCCTCTTCTGTCCCCTTCCACTCTTCTTCTCCAGTTCCCTCCACCCTTTTGCCCCCCCCCCCTACCTTGGTACAGTCCATTACAGTTCCAATCTTTACTCATCCTCCCCCTGCCATCTCCAATATTGTCTCCCATACGACGTCTCTGAATTCCGAAACACTTGAAGCAATCTCTGAATATATTTCAGAGACCAAACCATCAATGGACACTGATCCACTCTCTGTTCCTTCTCTCTCCTCTCCTCCATCTGCGCAACTCCTTTCTTCACAGCGCACCGTTCCTTTGCTGCTTGAATGTTTTCCGCTGCCTCCGCATGTGGATTTTTCTAACCCCTCGAGTCCATAGGAACCCTTACCTGCGGATTTCAAGTATCTTTATCATGGCCTATTTACAGTGGAATATACGCAGCCTCAGGGATAATCGGGGTGAGCTTCAGATGTTGCTCTCCCAGTTTTCCCCTGTTGGTGTTTGCTTACAGAAACCAAAATTACACTCTGCTGTTATCTCTCCCATCTCAGGCTATAATTTATTGTATTCTTCAGATCCTTTTCCTGATGGGACCTTTAATGAAAGTGCCCTTCTTCTACGCACTGATATTCCGTACCATCAGCTATTTGTTCGTACTTCGCTGCATTACACAGCAGCCCGTATCCACTTGCATAGGTGGTATACGCTCTGTTCTTTATATCTCTCTCCTTCTCGGGCGTTATCTATTCCGGATATTGCCTTTCTTGTTTCGTCATTACCACTACCGATTCTGTTACTTGGCGATTTTAATGCCCATCATTTCCTCTGGGAGGGGTCTCACTGTGATTCCCGTGGCATTCAGTTAGAGGCTTTTCTTGCCACCCACCCCCTCCATGTTTTAAATACAGGTACTCACACCCATTTTGATCCTCGGACTCACACTCTCTCTTGCACCGATCTCTCAGTCTGCTCTTCCTCCGCCGCATTAGACTTCACCTGGTCTGTTCTCCCGGATTTACATGACAGCGATCATTTCCCAATCATTCTTACTTCCCCTTCATATTCACCACCTCTTCGCACCCCACGCTGGCAATTTGATCAGGCAAATTGGAACCTTTACTCACAACTAACTGTTTTTAGTGAGGCTCCTTCTTCGTCGTTTTTAGTGAGGCTCCTTCTTCGTCCTCCATTGATGAGCTTTTACACCTCTTCTCGTCCTCCGTTTTAACCGCAGCTTCTCATTCTATACCCCAAACTTTGGGCAGGCATTCTCAGAAATGCGTGCCTTGGTGGTCTCCTGCTTGTGCTCGTGTAGTACATTTGAAACGCGCTGCGTGGGGCAGGTTCCGGTACAATAGAGCCACGGAGAGACTTCTTGATTTTAAGCAGAAGCGTGCAATCGCTCGCCGTGTCATCCGTGACGCTAAACGCACTTGCTGGCGAGATTGTCTCCACCATCACCTCTGCTTCCTCTATGAGTGCAGTCTGGAAAAAAGTACGAAAACTGAGTGGTAAATATTCTCCTGACCCGGCTCCTGTTCTGCGGGTTGCCGGTGTTGATATAGCAAACCCACTAGATGTTGCCAATGAAATTGGCAATCATCTGGTCCGTATTTCTCAGGGGCTCCATCTATGCCCCTCGTTTCTTTCCTCAAAGTCTGCCAGAGAGTTAGCACCCTTGGACTTTTCTTCTCTCAGAGAAGAACAGTATAATGTGCCTTTTACACTTCAAGAACTGGAGGCAACACTCTCAGCTTGCCGATCATCGGCAGCTGGGCCCGACGACATTCATATTCGTATGCTACAACATTTACATCAGTCAGCCCTTGCAGTCCTATTACGCCTTTTCAATCTTATTTGGTAACAAGTAGTTCTTCCACAGCTGTGGAAATCTGCCGTTGTTCTCCCTTTCCGCAAACCAGGCACTACGGGACATGAAGCCTCCCACTATCGTCCCATTGCTCTTACCAGTGCAGTTTGCAAAGTGATGGAACGCCTGGTAAATAGACGTTTAGTGTGGTATTTAGAGACACACAACAGTCTCTCCACTTGTCAATATGGCTTTCGTAAGGGATGTTCTACCATAGACCCCTTACTACGCTTGGATACTATGTTCGTAATGCCTTTGCAAATAACCACTCAGTTATTGCCATATTTTTTGACCTTGAGAAGGCTTATGACACAACTTGGAGGTATAATATTTTGGCCCAAGCCCACTCCTTAGGCCTCCAAGGCAATCTACCATCCTTCCTTAAGAACTTTTTAACTGATAGACATTTCCGTGTTCGGGTTAATAATGTGCTTTCCCCGGACTTTATCCAAGCTGAAGGTGTCCCCCAGGGATGTGTTCTGAGCACAACACTTTTTCTCCTTGCTATTAATGATTTGGCCTCTAGTCTTCCATCAAATATTTGGTCATCACTCTATGTTGATGACTTCGCTATTGCCTGTGCAGGCACTGACTGTCACCTCATTACAGTTTCTCTCCAGCATGCGGTCGACCGTGTTTCCAATTGGGCCACCACACATGGGTTTAAATTTTCCAGCACTAAAACCCACCAAATTACTTTCACTAGATGCTCTGTCATCTCCGATCATCCTTTGTACCTCTATGGCTCCCGTATCCCTGAACGTGATACAGTCAAGTTTCTGGGCCTCCTCTTTGACCGTAGGTTATCCTGGAAACCTCACATTACCTCTCTGAAGGCAACTTTCACAGCCGGCTGAACCTTCTTAAAACCCTTGCTCATCTTTCATGGGGAGCTGATCGTCGAACCCTCCTTCGCCTACATTCCACCCTCATTTTATCGAAACTTGATTATGGTGACCAGATCTATTCAGCGGCATCTCCTGCTACTCTCTCTAGCCTTAACCCCATTCATCACCAAGGATTACTTTTATGCCTCAGTGCTTTTCGCTCTTTCCCTGTTGAGAGCCTCTATGCAGAAGCGAACGTTCCATCCTTATCCGATCGCCATGATGCCCATTGCCTTCGCTACTATGTACGCTCTCATGATCTCCGCAATCCTTCCATTTATAGAATGGTCACTGATATTAGTAGACATTCTTTATTTGTTCACCGCCCCTGTTTACTCCGTCCCTTCTCTCTTCGCCTACATTCGCTCTTGTCTTCTCTTCAATTACCACCTTTCTATGTTCATGTAGCATCTCACTTTTCCCTACCCCCCTGGGAAGTTCCAGCTGTTCGAGTCTGTTCTTTCTCTCTCCCTTGCTCAAAAGCCCAACTGTCTACAGTCGCTTCCCGCTCTCTTTTTCTTGACCACTTCCACTCTCATTCTCATGCCATTGCTGTGTACACAGATGGCTCTAAGTCTTCTGACGGTGTAGGATTTGCAGCAGTGTTTCCGGACAGCGTCATACAAGGGCATTTACTATCTTCGGCTAGTATTTTTACTTCTGAATTGTATGCCATCCTTGCAGCACTTATCCGTAATGCATCTATGCCTGTGTCATCATTTGTGGTTGTCTCAGACTCCCTTAGTGCTTTACAGGCTATACAGAAATTTGATACACCTCACCCCTTAGTCCTCCGTCCAACTTTGGCTACGCCGCATTTTTACCAAGCATAAAGATATTGTTTTTTGTTGGGTCCATGGTCATGTTGACGTACAGGGCAATGAACAGGCAGACACTGCTGCGCGGTCAGCAGTACATGACCTACCAGTTTCATATAGAGGTATTCCATATACGGACTATTTTGCTGCAATATCTTCCCACCTTCACACCCGTTGGCAACAACGTTGGTCTACTATGCTCGGTAACAAACTTCAATCCATTAAACCAAGTATAGGTTACTGGCCGTCTTCTTATCACCAGTGTCAAGGTTGGGAGACTACTCTCTTCCGTCTTCGCATTGGCCATACTCGTCTTACTCATGGATATCTCATGGAGAGGCGCCCTGCTCCTCTCTGAGAATTGCCAGGCTCCATTATCAGTCAGCCACATTCTGTTGGACTGCTCACTTTATCAACGAGCACGCAGAATTTACCTCCGTCGTCGTCTTCGCTCCGCTGCTCTCTCTTTGCCTTCCCTTCTCGCTGATGGACCCACCTTTCATCCGGACTCTTTCATTGACTTTTTGACAACAACTGACTGACTTCACAAATTCTGATACCTTCAGCCCTTTCTACTTCAATCTCTTGCTACCCTCTACCCCCACACTATCCCCTGCCCCGCTGTTTTCTGTAACCTACTGATCATCCCTTCCCCCTTCTGCCACCCAATACCCTCGCTTCCTTCCCTACCCTGCAGCGCTGTATAGCCCTTGTGGCTTAGCGCTTCTTTTTAATCATAATAATAATAATACATTTTTTTTACATATTTTCAAATACATGTATAACAAAAAAAAAGTAGATCAAAGTTGTTTTACACATTTTCAAATGTAAAAAAAAAAGAAGATCTACTTGTTTTACATACTTTCAAATATTGAAAAAAACGTATATACATGTATATGTTTGGACCGTTTACGGGTTAAATATGCACTGTATTATTATTTTTTCTTAGCACACCAGCTGTGTCCCATGGAGGCAGCGTGACCCAAAAAAGAAGAAATGAAAGTTTTCCTTCTTTTACATTCAGTAATTTATACAGAAGGGGTAACTAGCCCCTTGCTCCTGGCATTTTAGTCACTTATGAAATGCCTGGCTAACAGAAGAAGAATTAATTCTCTTTTACTTCCCCATGGAGAATTGGCAGATACTGTAGTGACAAGTAAAAAAAACACTGAAGCCAAGTGGATCACTCAGATTTTTAAAACATTATAAGAAAGAAGTACATTGGTAATTTCAAGAATGCTTTGTGAAATTTTAATTGGTAACTATTTTAAAATATTTTGAGGATTCAACTTGTTAATTATTATTATCAAAACTAAATTCTAAATTTTCTAGGTCAAGTTATATTTATTGAGTAAATAATCTGGGATTATAATTTGTTGAAACAGTTGAGGTAAAAGCATTAGAAAAGGTTTAGCTGTTAGTATATTATTATAACCATTAGTGAGTACTTAACCTGTATGTTAGTATCATACATTGCCTGAGAACCAATCAGGTTTGATATAGGTAGAGTAGCTCCAATTCCTTGGATCAAGAGTCCTTCACTGAGGTTATTAGTGTGAATATAAAGAGGCCAAAAATTAACAGAGTTGTTGAAGTAAGATTGACTCTGGTAGAAAATATCTCAAATACTGAAGTTCCTGTAAGGCCCACCATAGGAAGGTTTCCAAAACATTTATTTCAGTCCCTGAATTACGTATTGGCTAGCACAATGCTGAACCCCCAATCAGTACCATCATCAGGGACAAAGAGACATGCAGATTCGTGATCACTTGAGATCGGCACTGCTGCCAGCTCTACACTGAAAAAATATACAGATCAAACATGGCTCACTGCAGCTTGTTTGCTCATTCATTGAGACTTTTTCGACAATATTCAGGTTTACTTCCTGATATAGATATCTCATTAAGCCATGCACAAATAATCTACACTTAGGAGACAAGTTTATGACATTTAGGTCCAACTTGAACCATTAACTGGTCACATAGTTAATGGTCCAAGTCAGACTGAAACATAGTCATGAGTTTGTCTCCTAAGTGCAGGTTATTTGTATATTGTTCCACTCACAGTATTGTGCCTTTTTATTCTTTTCTCATTAAGCCACTTTGGAGGAGTAAACAATTAGTAGGTGGTTTGCAAGACAGCTTACCCACACCTGCACGAGATAGATTATTTGAGTACTTCAGGACGTGTGGACTGGATATTCACATGCTTTTATGGTTCCTTTGATTTGCACATTCCTTTGTTAAAGTGCTGGATGAGACTGACACACAATTGGTGATTAATTGTACAGTGTAATATTTCAAAGTACTGCTTTTGTTAATAATGGGTTGTACTCGCCCAAAATATTACAAAGGGGTGACTAATCTCATGTTTCTGTGAATGTTTAATCCACCATTATATATGCAGTAAGTTTTAAACTAATGGAAAATACATACATTAAGGTTAGTTTCAAGATAAGCATAACAGATATGGATGAATATTTTTTTACCTTCAATTCCATTAGAGAAAAGGGTTGGCTTACTGGTAGGTAATATGTAATTGTTTATTCTCAGTTAATTTAGATCTTGTAAACTAGGTATGCATTGCATTTTTTATATTCAAGATTTTTTTATACTATCAAAGATTGTATATAAAGTTCTATGCATATCATGGCAATTGTAAGGTAGCAAGATTGTATGATTTTATTTTCAGTTTGGTAATTGAACAAGGCTACAATAATAGTATGATCTTTAGTTGCATTACAGGATATACTGTATCCAACAAGACTTGATCTTAGGCTGTAAGGGAGAATTTACATATACTTATGAGAGTACTTTTTCTTTCTTGCCAGTGTACTAATCTTAACCCGTAAATGGTCCAAACGTATATATACGTTCACTACCGTACTGCCCCAACTTTTTGAGAAAAAAAAATGTTTTTTAATAGGAAAAAAGAGCATATGGTACCCAGGCATCCCCAATTATTTTAATATGGTGCACAGTGAGTGCTCACACCCATTCTCACATGTCTAGGCGACTCAGGCTTATCGTGGCAATGTTAAATGTAGGACACATAAAACGTATATATACGTTTGGGGCACTAGCGGTAAAAACGTATATATACATTTGGACCGTTTACGGGTTAAAACTGCGTCATGTCATTGACCCATTTAGATGTTGTCTTCCTACTTATTTATCAATTATGTTATTGTAAAAATTGCATACTACAGATGCTCTTTATCAGTTGTACTTTTTGCAACTTTTTTACTGCATGATAATGGAGCATAATTCTTTGCTAGTGATGGCACAGCTTATGGGTGCCTTAGTAAATTGAAAGCTTATAGTTCAAGTTATAAATTGCTTTGATTTGCTTGTAACCAACTTTAATGTGATATTCTTTTAGTATTGTAACTTTAATCTGGATGAGAATTTTATACAAGCATATAATATAAATATGGCATCACAAGGATGTCAGATGTAAGTATTCAGGTTCAACTGCAGCACAATAAAGCAAAATGGGTAACTGTTCTCAACATTCAACCAACCTCTTGCTCCTTACTGACTCAGAAAAATAAGTGATAACTAAAATAATTATATCCATGTAAAGCAGATTGAACCAAATCTTTGCCTCACTAGGATTCTTCGTCATTTGTATTAACATGTTAGTATAGTAATGCATATCTTCTACTAATTACTATTACACAAGTGACCTGGGATATCCAGAGGGCAATCGGTACCTTCATATTTTAGGTGCTTTATGTATAGAATATCTAATTAGTATAGCATAAATTTAAAAAATAAATACCAAACATTTTATTTATTTATTTATTTATCCTATCAGTAAACTTTATTATAATCAAAAAGAAGTGCTAAACCTACAAGAGTCATACAGCTCAGTCAAGTTGAATGTAAGTAAATTATGCAACCATACCAGTACACACACACTTAGTAGAATGACACGAAAGCTAACAGTGATGGTGAATTTTTTTTTTTTTTAACTGGCCGTCTCCCACGGAGTGAGGGTAGCTCAAAAAGAAAAGTGTGTGAATAATGGTGACAATCACTGTCTTGCCAGAGGCATGCAGATATGACAGTTCAGAAGTCCCTCCAAAGAGCAAATATCCCTACCTCTCCTTTAGAGTGCAGGCAGTAACTAAAACCAAGATTTAGTATTCAGATTGATGATACCAAATTGATTTAAGAGTTCAAATATGGTATAAAAAATGTTTAAAGAAAATTAAATAATATTTTATTAAACTGTGAAGTAGTTTATTGCCTTTCTTACAACTGAAATTTCGTCCATTAATTTTTAAGAATAAGAATTTCCATACAATTCAATAAATAACTAAAGATACTTCTTACAGAATTTTAACTTGAAACATTAACCACTGATTATATTAAACAAACATAAAACATAAATGGTCTCCTCCATCTCTGATATGTTTGAAATGATCCCCATGTGGTAAGCCTGATTTTCCTTCCGCTGCAAGTTAGTCCTTGATAGGCTTTCAACCCACTGCTTCATCTGTCGTAGTCATGCCACGAGGACCATCTCCATCATACCTGTATATGAACATGACAAATGTTATAAGATGTATAAAGCATGTGGCATTAAAATATTCATACTTATCTAGTCAGCATTGCTGTATTTAGCTAATCTATGCAACAAAAAATATGCATCAAAGCTATTTGCTTTATTAAAGGATAAGCAAGGCCAACATGCTGATACAGTAGTACAGTATTTCAAAATGCTTTGTACATAATTATAGGTACCTGGTATAGTATTTCAGAGCTATATTATTATTATAATTATAATCAAGGGGGAAGCGCTAAACCCGGAGGATTATACAGCGCCTGGGGGGGGATGTGGAAGGCATTCAGGCTTAATTCGGGGAACTGGAGCACAGATCCAATTCCCTAAATCAAGAGCCCCTCACCAACATTCAGAGCTATAATGTATGCCATTATACTAAACAGTTTCCACTATAAGAATACAAAAAAAAAAAAAAGAAGCCTTTAAAAATAATAATATGTAACTGATTTCACCAGTTATTGACACTAAAAACAGCAGAGACTGTCTGCAGTATACCCCTCAAGGAAGGTTCCTTGATGTTGGTGAGGGGCTCTTGATTTAGGGAATTGGATCTGTGCTCCAGTTCCCCGAATTAAGCCTGAATGCCTTCCACATCCCCCCCCCAGGCGCTGTATAATCCTCCGGGTTTAGCGCTTCCCCCTTGATTACAATAATAATAATGTCTGCAGTATAAAAAAAAATACATATATAACATGCCATGGGAATTTGAACACTATATTCACAACTCTTAGGAAAAGAATATATTTGAAGTGAGCCTTAACTCCATACCATTACCCTGGTCAAGAGAATGTATACAGAGGCAAATGTCCCATCTTTTCAAGGTCAACATTGTACCCATTCTCTCCATTATTTGGTCCACTTCCATGACCATGATCCTATCACATATAGAACAGTTACACATCTTAGCAAAGCTAAATTATTGTTGCCTCCATTCATTTTGCCTCTTTCCTCCCCATATTTGTGATTATGTTAACATTACACACTATCAAATGCCTCCTCTTTACATAACTAGTTTTAATGCCCGCCTAAGCAAGATTTTCGTGTATCTGGGTATGGAAGCCCTGTGCCCAGAGACAGGCTGCAGAGCTCTGCTCCACTTTCACTTGCATGCCAGTGGTTGGGCTAATCATATACCCTATCCATCAGAAGTGATTCTGGCACATTCCAACACTGCCTAGTATACCCACTGTCAAACCTCTATCTAGTCAGCCATGACTTTACAGTATCCTGCAGTCCCTCCCCAGTTACCACACCAATCAACCCTATAAGAATGGACAAGGTGGATTGTCTATATCAGCTCCACTACACACCCCATTACAAACTGGAGTGGTAGTCCCAGCAGAGCATAGGTAGAGCCAAGTGGAAGGGACAATGTCCATGTGCATGAACATTATAATTAATAACCTTTAAAAACTGTTGAGCATACCATCAATGAAGGAGCACCAGGTCAGATGCTATCTAGTCACCCAAGGCATCATGAACTGCATCTGCTATCTTGTTATATTTCTTCTCACTGTCAACATACCCATCACCATTCTGAAATTAATAAAATTAACTACATGCAATACAGTAAATTGCAGTAGTGCTCTACAACTTTTATTGACTGACTGTGATGCTTTAGTCAATTTTTAATTACATGTACAGTATTCTATTAATACTGTGGGAGAATAATCAATGGAGCATGCACATGTACTGTATACAGTGGACCCCCGGTTTACGATATTATTTCATTCCAGAAGTATGTTCAGGTGCCAGTACTGAACGAATTTGTTCCCATAAGGAATATTGTGAATTAGATTAGTCCATTTCAGACCCCCAAACATACACGTATAAACGCACTTACATAAATACACTTACATAATTGGTCGCATTGGAAGGTGATCGTAAAGCGGAGGTCCACTGTATATATATACATTACATAGTACATTATTTGGTATGTGAAAATATATTCAAAACAGGTTATGGGGAATGTTCTCCCATATTTCATAACTTGCAAAAATAAAGGAAAAGGGGGCCTCAAACCAACAGTTTCAGCTCAAAATTGGCAACGAGCACATGCATGGCTAACTTCAATTTAAGAAAAATTTTAAAGCTTTACAAAGCACTAACTTCTTATAGAAGAGTCAGAGTGTAATAAAGTTGGTAGAATTACTGACAATATGTAAAGTAAAAGGACACAAGTGCAACTAATGTGACATTTTATTGTGGCAACGTTTCGCTTGATAAAGCTCCTGGAGAGCGAAACGTTGCCACAATAAAATGTCACATTAGTTGCACTTGTGTCCTTTTACTGTACAAGAGTCAGAGTACATGAATGCTATATCCTGTACCCCCCTCAAGGAAGGTTCCTTGAAGTTGGTGAGGGGCTCTTGATTTAGGGAATTGGATCTGTGCTCCAGTTCCCCGAATTAAGCCTGAATGCCTTCCACATCCCCCCCCAGGCGCTGTATAATCCTCCGGGTTTAGCGCTTCACCCTTGATTATAATAATAATAATAATATATCCTGTACCTTCTTGGAGTGAACAAGTTCATCTCCAACAGTGACCTCAAAGAATCCAGTCATCTCGGGTGTCCCTTCGCCTGTCTGTAATGTACAAAAACACTTAAGTTTTTCACCATATAAATTGAACTTATGGTTTTAATGTCTTAGAGTACATACTTAATATGTACAGTTTAGCCTTTAAACTTGAATCATTTGCTTGAGTACAGTAGTAATTTTTCTGGAAACCAAATCAAATATTTTGTGTGAAAATTGTACATTAATCTAGACTACAAACCTTCATAGATATAACAAAAAGTTAAGCAGGTTAGGAACATTTTTTTTACTGTAAATACTAACAGAAATCCAAATAGTTTATAATATTATAATACAAAAAAGAGCACTTTAAGATCTAAAGTTGACTTTAGTCTTTGACAGTAAAAAGTATTCTAAATTATTTCAAATTGAAGTAACTTAATTAATATTTCTAGTAAATACAGTGGACCCCCGCATAGCGAACTTAATCCGTGCAAGAGGGCTGGTCGTTATGCGAAATGTTCGCTATGCGAATTAATTTTCCCCATAAGAAATAATGGAAATAAAATTAATCCGTGCAAGACACCCAAAAGTATGAAAAAAAATTTTTTTTACCACAAAAAAATGTTAATTTTAGTACACACAAACTGAAAAAGGCATGCACAATTACATGACACTTACTTTTATTGAAGATCTGGTGATGATTGATGGGATGGGAGGAGGGGAGAGAGAGTGTTAGTGTTTAGAAGGGGAATCCCCTTCCATTAGGACTTGAGGTAGCAAGTCCTTTTCCGGGGTTACTTCCCTTCTTCTTTTAATGCCACTAGGACCAGCTTGAGAGTCACTGGACCTCTGTCGCACAACAAATCTGTCCATAGAGCTCTGTACCTCCCGTTCCTTTACGATTTGTCTAAAATGGGCCACAACATTGTCATTGAAATAGTCACCAGCACGGCTTGCAACAGCTGTGTCAGGGTGATTTTCATCCATAAAGGTTTGCAGTTCAACCCACTGTGCACACATTTCCTTAATTTTTGAAGTAGGCACAATGGATTCCACAACTGGCATAGGCTTCTCAGGGTTAGCCCCAAACCCTTCAAAATCTTTCTTAATTTCCATACTAATTCTCACCCTTTTTACCACAGGGTTGGCACTAGAAGCTTTCTTGGGGCCCATGGTCACTTATTTTCCAGAAACAGCACCGAAAACACTGTAATAATACGAAATATTCCGAGTGTATGCTTGAATGTTACCGCGGAGGCTGGCTGGTAAACAATGGGACGGGCGGCACATGTGAGGCTGGCTGAGGCAGCACATTGGACGCGTCTCGGACGAAGGTCGCTGAGCGGGTTTTTGTCCACTATGCGGGGCAAAATTTTAGCGAACAAAGCGTTCGCTATGCGGATTGTTCGCTATGCAAGGCGTTCGCTATGCGGGGGTCCACTGTACTGTCAATAAGTATCATTCTATTAACCCCAGTAATCATTTTTCTATAAAGTTATATGAATATTAAGTTACACAGTAGTGGAATAGCTTATCCAAAACAGAATACCCTGGGTTCGAAAAGAATTACCACAATATTTTAAGTCTACCTCTGTATGTTAGAAGTGATCAAGGTCCCAGGACCGAAACGTTTTCTAATAAATATGTTATAGTGTTTGCTTACGTGTCTTTCTAAACCAACTTGTCGGTATTTATTACCAAGG